TGTACTCGGAGTCATTCTCGTTGGTATAACATGATGCTTTAAAGTGCTCTCTGCAGATGGGTTTGATTAGTTCATTCCTGCTGGCCCTCCCAGTGCACCAAACCCCATCTGTGCTCCATGGATCCCGGCGCTCTCCTCGCACGGAGCCGTCTTGAAGGAGTTGGCTTGGAGTGGTTGGGCGGGGGGGGAGGAAAAAAAAGGGAAAAGAAACTATCGCGTGGCTTCGTGGCCACAGCTCCGGCTCTAAAGTGCTGGGGTTATGATGACATGGCAGGTTGGGTTGGAGGAGGAAGTCCGAGGAGCTGAGCTGGCCTGGCCTGGGGTGATGGCGTGTTTGGGGAGATGGGAGTGACTCAACACGGAGCAGTATTTAATGGCCTGAGAAGTTGGTGCGGGGCGGGTAGGGCAGGAAGGACCAGGAAATGCGAGTTCTCTCTGCCTTAAATCCCTTTGTAGGCTTGTTCTGAAGTACTTCAGGCTTTCACGTTGCTGGTTTAGGAAGGGCTGCCCTGCCTGCTGCTGCTCTGCCATGGTCCTTTAGGGTTGCTACAGGTCTGTTAACTGCTCCTGGATCCTGTACTCTGAAGTCACGGTCAGCTTTTGGGAAGGCAGGAGTTGAACCAGGCTGTTTCTGCAGTTACTGCGCTGAGCCAGGCAGTGCTGCATATATGTCAGTCTGAAATGGTCGTTTCTGCTCTGTTTTGTGTTGCTGCTTTACAGTGGTTTGGAGTTTGTTAAAAACGTATATCCATGGTCTTCAGTGCAAGGGTAAAACTGGAATCCTGGAGCACTCTTGTAACAAGGAGTAACGTGTAGGTGCTGGAATACTCTGGGACATAACCCAGGTACTGCACAGCAAGCTGTAGACAAGGCACTCTGATGCCATTGGGAAAGAAGCTGCTCTAGGTCCATGTGTGTGCTTGCTGGTGTGAGGTGCCTGAGGTACAACTGTGCTGTTTATCATGTTAGTTAATCAGGAAGTCTCATTGTAGGAGGTTTAAGCGCTTATGGTAGAGTTGAATAACTGCTTGGGTTTGGTTTTTTTTTTCCCTTGAGATCTGTGTTAGGGAAAATACTGTTTGTTTTTCTGAGTAGAAAGGAATTGATAGAGGAATGTTGTGTACAGTGCAGGCAAACCCCAGCCTGGGAGCTGCCCACGTCTCTCCTGCACCCCTTTAGTCTCGCTACCAACGCAAGGATTTTGCTCCAGAGCCTCCTTAGAGGTTTCCCCTTTCCAAACCAGGGGGTTAAGAACTGTAGAAGTGAATACTCTGGATGGAGTTGACTCTTGCTTGGTCAGAGGTGGTGTTGGAAGTGAGGTACCTGCGGAGTTTGCTCTTAGCCCCTGTGACCCCTTGCACAAGGAGCAAGCCCCATGCTAGGGAGGGGAAGAGCTGTGGGTTTCTAGCACTGCTGGGTCTTGGGTCTCCACCATCACCATCTAATAATTTTCCTTTGTGTAAACTGTCCTTGGCTCACTTGCAAAGACAACTGTGCACTTTTGACTTGCTTTTTTTTCTTACTGCTGTAAACTATGCTGGATATTTGTGGCAAACCTATCTAACTTTTTTAATCCTTTTCTTTCTTTTTTCTACAGCATTGTCCAAGATTTAACAGTTGGTACAAAGGTAGGCACTTCTCACTTTTTCTCTCTTTTTACACTGCTCAGCATCTGACCTTGTTTTAGCCTCACCAAATGTAGATCTTCAGCTTTAAGGGGTTATTTCTGGTCCCATGTAAATTGGTTGCAACCAGAAGGTAATTTAGTTTCATGTGCATTGAAAACTTTTATTATGGCTCAGCATTTAGCTCTTGGCATTTGGACATTGATTATCAACTGTCAGAAAAGAACTTTATTGCATTTAGAAACAGCCCTTTCCCCTTCTAAATGTCACAAGCCATGCTTGTTATTTGGGTGCTAGGCATTGCTTCTCAGTGGAGAAATTGGGCCTTTTGAGAACTTGATTTCCTTTATGTGAATTCCTGTTCAGTTGTATGTCAAAAATCCTTCTGCCCCCCCTTCCCCCCCCCCCCCCCCGTGTTTAGCTGTTGGGTTTTATCTCTTGTGAGTACAGTAAATATGACCTTCATCCTTCTAGTCTCAGGTTTTGAAAGTGCAGACTTAGCCCTGAAACTCAAAGTGCTGACAGGAGCCTCCTTATCTGCAGTGCTTAGTAACAGGCTGTTGTGTTCCAGGATAAAAGCTGGGGCCTGTGAAATGGTCAACTGGAATGTGTGGGATAGACTGGCACTCCTTCCTGCATTAAAGGGGTTTCTTGTTCCTTCCTGACCATTGGAGCTAATGCTCTGGGATCAGGATTACAGTAAGTTCAGCCCTTGAGTTCCTTTTGTTAGATAGTATGTGTGAATGTTGGCCTTTGGCTTCTTTAATGGCCCGACTTGTGTGGCGGTAGCATCAGCATCTCCATTATGAACTGAGCAGTGTGGTGACTTGAAATAGGCTGGTGAGGTGGCTGAAGTAGAGGTGAGCTCTGTTAGGTCTACATGAGTGAAGAAGGAGCATTAGAGAGAGCTTGCTCCTAAACAGCAAATAGGTTTTTGTGCTGGAAGTGCACTGCTGTTAACCATAAGCATGGTTTAGTGCTTCAGGGTTTGAGGGGCATCAAATGCATGAAGGGGGCTTGGTTTAATAGCTATAGAGGGAGGTTATTCTCACTTTCCCTCGTATGGGAATCTGAAACTGGAGTTAATTGTAGTGCCATGATAGTGTCTGGTTCTGCTGTGAGGAGCTCAGTTTGACATCGGAGGAGGGAAGGCTCCAGCCTGGGCAATGAGGTTGATTAATACTTAAGAGCTATTGTAAAAGGTGGAGTAAGCCATCCCTTGACCTGCAGAGCAGTTTGATCTTCTAGTAAACTGATTAATCTAGGTAAGAGTCCACTCAGTTGGTTTTAACTGGGTAATTTGTAGCTTTAGGTTTCTGCAGCTTTAAGAAGTGGTTTTACACAACTCAACTTCACCAGGAAGCTTCTGAAGCTGTAATTGTCTTCTTGGTGAATCTTCAAGCTTCCGGATGTGGGATTGTGCAGCTCATCACTCCCATCTGTGGGGTGATTGCAGTCCGTAGTGCATACAGTGTCTAAACTGAGGACTGGGAGCAATTGCATCCAAGGGCTTCTGCTCCTCACACAGCCAGAGCTGTAACCACAGTCATGGCAGTTGTACCATGGGGGTGGCCAGTGGTGGGACCAAAGTGGGCATCAAAACTGAGGGTTTTGTGCAGTCAGACAAGGTGAGTCTTGAGAAAGTTGAATCAAAACTAAGAGTGGCAGAAGCAGAAGGAAAGTTGAATCATTGGGATAAAGGTAAGTTTTAAAATGATTTTTGACATTGCTATGTTACCTGATGATGTTGGAATAAGTCATTGAATAAACCATGTAGCTCATGCGGCAGAACGCTCTTTAATGTTGGGGTGTTTTACATGTCATAGATTTGCTCAGTTAAGTCAGAACCCTTTTTGTGCACAGCTATAGGAGCAAAGGGAAGGCTTCCCTTGCAGCTTCCCCACGCTCCTGTATCACTGGAGATCCCCTGCCTGCAGGGCTTGTGCACAGAGAGCTACAGGCATCTCTGCAAGAGCTGTGTCAGTCACTTCTTAAAAATAGTTACCTCTGTGGTAAGTGTAAAACCTCATTGGCTACAGCTCCTGAAACGTTGTTGTTGCTTTTGTGGTGCTTCTCCTTCAACCTGCCTCACTTGGGTTTGCCAAGAAGTAGTTTGAAGGCACTGCAGAAGAAGGTTTCCATGATGCCACAGAAGCATTTCGCCTTGTCTTTGCCAACATAACTACAGCGATGGAGCTCTGTCCATCCACCAGCATTTGCTTGCTCCCTGGGGCATCACTGACATCGCTTCAAGGATTAACTGCTGCCTCACCTTCACAAGCTTTAGAACTGCCTGAAAATGTAATGCTCTGGAGCTGTAGTTTTGTCATCTCTGGCTTCATAAAGGAATATCCCAAAGTTGGAGCATTCTCAGACAGGTAGGAAAAGTGCCTGTGATGATGAACAAACCTTACCTTAAGAAGTCCCCAGATGTTCTCGGGCTAGCTGCTCAGCACTGCACTGCCTGGTGCTCTGGTTCTGAACCAGGATGGTCATTGTTCTTGGGCTTCACGTTTAGCCTAGTCCACAGGCTCCTCCTCAGTTTCAAGTGTGTGAATTAGTTTAGGAAGCTCATTACAATGCTGGTGTGGGGCTCTTAATGCACAGCCTTCTGGAATGTTCTACACATTAGAAACCCACGAGTTAGGACTTGTTTCTTCCCATAATGTCATTGCTGACTGAAGAGGAAGTATGACCTTAAGATGGAGGCACTGTATTTGAACTCCAGGGTAGTGTGTCTCACCGTGCAGTTGCCTCTTCTCAGTAATTTGATCAAGATTCCTCTGGATCTCCTTTCCCTGTCTTTCTTTTGCCAGGATACCACTACCTCCTCAGGCTCTAACGGTCTCCAAACAGCACTGGTTACTAGAAGGAGTATGAACTATGGTACATCATTATTAAGTGAAGCTGTTTCAATGATTGGAAAAGTCTCAGAGTAATTTTGTAGTTTCTTGGTTAAGTTGAACATTCTTTTTTTTTTTTTCCTGAAAGCTGATGCTTCCAGAAGCAAAGAGCAACCACTTTGGTGGCATTTGAGAAGTTAATTTTTAAAGCAGGGCTTGCTGGAGTGTGGTACGGGCTGGCTGCATAGAAGTCATTTGTGATCAAGCCAGGATCTTTGCCATGGGAACAGTAATTATGGCTTCAGGCAGCAGGCCAAGAATGTTGCGAGGAAATTCCAGTCCCCTCCTATGGCTTTGCTTCGAGGCTGCAACAAGCTGGCTCTTGTGGCTGCTGTAACAGGCGTGATCACACGTGTAAGCCACATGTTGATAGCAGGGAGCATGGATGATGGTGTCCTTTGGCAATGCCACGTCAGGCAGGTTTGATAAAGAGCTTCATGTGATCCGTGTTCCCGTTGTGTAGGGTTTGATGCACCTGTAATGTACAGGTACCTGTCCTGTGATGGGTTCTGAAAGCTGGCTACATCTGTGTTACCAGGAGCTGAAGCTGCTGGGTGAGGTGAGATCACTGCCACAGGCTTAGCAGCTCTTTGAGCTGTGCAAAGCAGTTTCTCCATCACATGTAACCCAGGTTTTCATGTGGGAGCCACCTCAAGTCCCTTGCACTTGGAAAGGAGCTGGGACTCCCTGTAGGTGAAAAGAAATCTATGTGAGACTGTAGAAAACAATCAGTTAATGAAATGGTTGTAGAAAGTATTTCGGTTTAACCTCAGGCCTCCTTTGCCCTCAATCTGTGATGATTCAAACAAATAGCAAAATTCTGAACACACGTGAATTTATTCAACTTTATCTTTAATCCCATAAGCATGGGACAGAGTCTGGGCCCTGAGTCACTGCCACTGGTTTCAAGTAGTGCCAGTGCCACATTTGCTGCCACCTTACACCAGCAGGGAGAGTAAGCATGATTTCAGTTCCAATCCTATGTAATTCTGGTGTAGCTTCATATGAGAACTCATTGAATACTCTGCTTAGTTCAGCAAGTGTGTGCTGGTAATCCCAGTGCAATGAAGGCTCCATGGTTGCCACAGCAGGTGCCATTATTACACAACTGCAATTTAGACGAGATTGAATTAGTAGTTTCTTCTAAACCTGCATGTTCAGTTTGCTCTGCTCCAGATTTGGACACAAAATGTTCTTTCGCAGGTTCCATTTTCCCAGCATGACTCACCCAGTGGCATTTCTTTGTGATAGTGTTTGTCCTGTGCTTCACCAAGGACCTGTCTGCTCAGCTGCAGGATGTAAAAGCTCAAGGTTGAGGAGCAGTTAAGTTTCAGCTTGGGAGCAGAACCTCATAAAGCCTGGGTGTGGATTGCCCTGCAAAGCCAGCCTGACTGCATTGCTGCAGCCCTTGGAGCTCAGGAATTTGGGGCTCTTTGAAATGGCCACACCTTTTGTTTGCTCAAAGGGCAGGTTTGTTTTACAGGGTGTCTCCATAGTAGCAAAGACTGAGAAAGAAAGTCAGGGAGGGGCTGCTGGGGTGAGTGGGTTGAGGAGCTGGTAGTGCACCTTATTGCACAACCTCATGCTGGGCTGTGTGAGCAACTGCTCTCATGTAGTGCCTGAGCTTCCAGTGTCTGCACTCACAGCCCCACCTGTGTACACTAGAAATGGTACCAGCTATTGTGGCAGTACACCTGGTAGGACACTTTTCCTAAGCACCGAATTCTTTGCAGTGCTCTGACCGACTGACCTGGTTTCAAAGGTGCAATGTGTGTGTGTAGCCAAGTATGCTGTTGGAATCTCGGTGGGAAGTCTGCCATGCTGGCTCTTTGGGAAAGGTATCGGACTCAATCTTGTGCAGGCAAGAGCGAGGTTAGAACAACTTCAGAGGCTGTAAGTGGTAGGTGACATTGCTTGGCCCCAGCTAAAAAGTGTAGTTAAAAAAGGACCTACTCAAGGCCTGCCAGACAGGCTGATGCCTCTGACTCCTCCATGGATGGAATATACCAGCTACAGGGCTAGATTTAATCTGACAAATGCTGCAGGAGTTGCTCTATTTGAATTGGTACATAAAAATCAGCCACAAGCTATTTGATGAATGAAATTGGTATTTCTCCCTCCACCCCCCCAAAAAACTGTAGGTTCAAATCAGGTTGTGTAAGCTGTTTGGCAGCAAGAGGTTACGTGATACTGAAGATGGACAGCAGCATCCTGCAGTGGCTCATTTGGCCCAGGCCTGCTGTCTGCAGGGTCTTGAAGCTCCCTTGTGTTGATCAGACATTTCCAGCTTTACTGGGGCCAAAGGAGGATGCAGTTGGTGTGCTGTTTGTGACCCAAATGGCAATGTTCTTCACACTGCTTTACCTTTACGTTACTCAAGAGTGTTGGCAGCAGGAGATGGGACGGGGGTAACACGAGGGAGCCTTGCTGGAAACCAGTCTTGTGGGGACGACAAGGAAAGCTGGCATCCTTCGAGTAGTTTAAGGTTAATTTCCTTCCTAGCTCTTGAATCTCTCAGCAAGAAAAGCTGGAGTGTGAATGATGATGTCACCAGCCTGGATTTCTCTTCTTAGTTCCTTTGCGAACCAACTGGAGCTGAGCACTGCAGCATGGAGCACATTCCTTTGGGGCTGAGCTCATGCGAGCCCTCTGAGCATACCTCAGCAGCACTCCATTCTTTCTGAGCTCAAAGACACGATGGTTTTTGCTTCTTTCATCAAAGCAAAGGGTCGGTGTGAGCTTCCCCATGATCCCTATGTCGTTTGGGCAGAATATTTTGGTGGCCTTTTACTGGCTCTAAAATCATCTTACAGACTTGGGGCAAAATGAAGTGGAAGAAGGATGCTGGTGTGCTCTGCCATGAGACTTGAGACAGGGGTTTTATCCAAACTTAAGCAAACCAAGGACTTCCAACAGTCCAGATTTTTACTGGTTTCTTCCTAGAGGGGGGATTTTCAAGGTGCCTTACTTCCTGGAAGCACCTTTTAGGTGATGGCCTGTACACCACCTACATCTACCTTGTTCTGCACCAAAAGGAGGTATACTGCAATGGCTCATCGCTAGAGCAGCTCTGCAGTCAGGGCTGGGAGTGCTGCTGCTCTTTGCAGGGTTCCTCATGAGCCAGGAGTTTCCTGCAGCACCTGGGTTTGGCTATTGCCATCTTCCTTTCTCTGATCAAGGATTACATGGGGCAGCTGTAGCACATATAGGTATGCTGGCAGAAGTTGTGACAATCTGTGGCTTCACTCCAAACAGTGACGAGGTTCAGGTAAAATCCTAGCAGCAATAGGACAATTGAGAGTTGCTTTTTAAGCTGGGAAAGCCTGGTTAAAACTACAGCAAAAAGATCAAAGTTCCTCAAAGTTAACTCAGAAAAATAGGAACTATTTGAAAAATCTACCTTGTCTTTAACTCAGAAAAGGGAACTAAATCGTTGATGGCAAACCCAGAGCAGGGGTGTTGGGACTAAATGAACGCAGCTCGAGCAGTCGAGCTTTCATAGCCACGAGTGCAAACAAAGAAGGCTGCTGTCATAGAAACGCTCCCGGGCCAGGTTCTACCTGGTGATACTGTGGTGGAGCAGCCTGGGGAGGAGCTGCAGAGTGGGGGTTGTTTTCTATGACGAGGAAGAGGAGATCTGTTCCTTCAAGTGAAGGCTGCCATTGCTGTGAGCACGCTGTGAATGTCAACAGGAATCCGTGCCTCTTGTGAGCAGGGATGGGGACTTGAGGATCTGAAGAGCTGTCTTGAGTTGTTGCTGCACGGTTGGGTCTCCCCATGGTAGTCACAGCTGAAGGAGGTAGAGGGGTGGAGGTGTGGGTTGGTGCTGGCGAGCTGCTGAGCACCCACACAGCCGTTTCCTTGCTGTTTGTGTGGTTTTAAACCTGAATAAAACAGTACCTCCGAATCAGTCACTTTTGGCTTGGCTTTCCCAGTGTCAGTCAGGACACCCAATGGATGTGGTGGTGGTGGAAAAACTCTTCTAAACCTTTTCCAAGGACCAGGTGGGTTTTGGGTCCTCCCTAGAGATTTCTCGGGCTTATCTGAGATAAGCTCCAAGAGCAGCAGAGGGGGAACAAACACCGCTGAAGAGTCGTCCTTGATGCAGCATCCTGTGGCTGGAGGAGGTTTGGCAGCACCGTGTGCTCAGTGTTACTCCTTGGTGTAACTCCTCAGCGCGTGGTAAAGCTGCCCTAGAAAAGTGATATCTTCAAAGGAAGCTTGTGTGGAAGAGTGTGGGTATAACTGTACAGAGTTCTGCATGTACTGCCTGTGAACTTCCTTGTGTAGAGAAGAGCCCTTGGAATAATAGTAGTTTTCCAACTGCTGTAGCCTTCCCTCTTCACTTGCACGTACTTCCAGCTGGGAAGCTTACAAATTGCCTGCTGCTGCTTTTGATGTGGAACAATCGTCCCCCTCTGCCTCCTGGCTCTGGGTGTAGTAGGCAGCGGAGACTGTCTCCAAGATAAGAGGGGAGTGGATTGAAATGGCTCTTTCATTAAAGCAACATGAACATGTGGAACCCAGCAGCCAGAAGCATTCTTTGTCCGTGTGCCCTGCAGGTAAAGATTGCAGTATGCGAGAAAATGTTGTTATTGAACAGGTCATCAGGAAAGTGAAATTCAGGGAACTGAAATTCTTTCCATAATAGTATAAATGTTTGTTTTCCCAGTTTATAGTTTCCTGGTGTTGCCTCCATGAGAGCCAAATATGTGGCTTGTTCTCCTGGTGTTGTCGTGGTGGATTGCAGGGGCTGCCCCTGCACAGATGCATTGTTTCCTGCTGGGAGTGCTGGAGTTCTCCGTGCTCACCAATGTACAAGCTGCTATTCAGGAACCCCTTTTTCTACAGTTCAGGGCCCATTAAGGCCTCATGTGAGGGGTTTCATGAGGCCAGTAAACACTTGTCTGCATTGGGAGGGCTTTTGTCTGCTGCTGGCTGGTGCTTGTAAATAGCTGCCAGTTGTATCCCAGGCCCCAGAGTAAAGCCATGCCCAGAGTGGCTGCAGGAGCTCAGGCACAAGAGTGGTTTTACAGTAAAGTGCTGGGGATTTTTTATGCATGAACTTGAGTCATCAAAAAACTGGGATCACAGGGAATAGCCTCCCAGAGTAGCTTGGGGGAATCCCAGTGCTAATTAGAAGAGCTGTAAAAAGGCCCATTCCCAATTCCTGCACCATGTCAGGAGGGAATGACCTCCCTGGTGCCCACAGCCTTGGTAGAACTGGTCAGTGCTGCAGGTGACCACCAGCAGCGCACGAACCACGGGGCTGGAACCTGGCCCTAATTCCTTGGATTCAAGAGATCAAAGTCCTTGAGCCTGTCGTTTGAAGAGCCAGCAGTGAGTAGTCAAACGAGAAACACAGGGTTTGAAAGCACAAGTGCTGTGTCTGCTCTGCAGTGAGCTGGGGCTCTTGTGTGACCTACTTCTGCCTGCGTGCAGGGAAGGGAGCGGGGAGCTGCTGTTGTCACACAGATAGTGTTTCTGCAGGTGCTGCCACATCTAGGGCATGGTGGGTGATGGAGTGTCTGGTAGCCACAGGGTGAAGCAGGGCACGTTTCCATCAGGAAGGCGGGGGGGGGGGGGGTAAACGAGGCAGACATGAGCTCTGTTCTTTTTTCTGCTGGTGAAAGCCTTTGACTGTGGCATTTCTCTGCAAGAGAAGTGCTTCTTCGTGTTGCATCTGTATTACTGTGTTTGCTCACAGGGTACAATGGGATTTGGGGTTGTTCTGTGTAATGAGGCCATCCTGATTTTAAGCTGTGTTATGTATATAAGCATCGATTGTGCTAAGAAGTGATTTGTAGTCTTAGTAGTGTTTTTTGTAGCTCCTGCTTGGGTTAGGCTAACGTAGGGTGGCTTGGAGGCAGTTGGGCTGAGTGACTTTTGTGTGAGCAGATGGAATTACACCTACAGCTCCTAAAAAACCTGGAGCAGACGTGTTTCTTAAGCTCTGCAGTACCAGGGGCTGTTGTCTAATCCTAGTAGGAACAGTCTGGTTTAGAATTGCTTTGTCAGATGTTTTCTCCCTCCACAGTGCTGCAGGGAGCAAAGTCACAGAATCCAGATGTTGGGATACGCTGTGCTACTCGTGGGGTTTGGATTTGCCAGTAGCCACGTTGATGCTGATGTGGAGCAAAGCCTGAGGTGCAGGGTAGCAGAGGATGGGATTCTGAAGGTTTAGTCCCTGTGGACCTACATGTGCTTTCGGAGACTTGATGGTGCTGCTGTTCTGGGCATTGTGGCTACAGGATGCCAAACCAGGGACAGTGTTCTCTACTAGAATCCAAATTGTTAAACGTGGACCCATTTCTGCTGTGAAATCTGAAAAGTAGCTTTTTGCCAGTAACATTACACTCCTGCCCTGCCCTTTCTTGGGGGTAGGGAAGGGATCACATCTCTGTTTCTTGTAGCTGCATCTTCTGCTGGTAACTGGAGTTTATAGTCACACACAGTTTTGGCCAGCTTCTGGTAATTTGTCTTTTGCTTAAGATGTCTTTGCTCCTTGTAACCCTCCTGTGCCCTCAGTGGATGCCAGGGGGCCTGTTCGGTTTGCTCTTCCTCACCCGTGGGACTGTTCTCTTGCATTCCCATCCTCCTGGTGTATCTCAGTGCATTTAGTGGCTTTGGACAGTTCAATGATGCTTCAGCTCTGGAGATCCCTAATGCTTAGCAGAAAGATACTGGATAGTGCTACTCAATTACTAAATTGGATCTTACTTATATTTAATTTATGGAGGTGAGGTTCACTGCCCACTCTCAGTATGTTTTCACTTACACTTCAGCTTCTCTACAGCTTAGGCTCAATTGTTCTGCTTTAGGAGGACCTGAATAGAGCTCAGTAGAAATGCTCTCAGTTTACCTTTCGTCTTTTCTTTTCCAGCGGGGAGCTGACGAGCTTTTCCCTACTTGTGTTACTAACGGACCCTTTATCATGAACGACAACAATTCTTCTGCAGGTAATGTTGCCTCTAAAAAAGAACAGCACTTTATAAGCGTTGCAGATACTAGGAGGAGGTCTGGGTTTTAAAACCTCTTTAGCTTTGATGTTTCCTAGGCCTTTGTAGGACAGTGCTGAATAGTAATAATAAACTTCTGCCCTATACCTGTGTGAGTTTTAGTGGACTGAAGAAAATTGGGGCAGACCAGTTGCTAAAATGTTTTTTACAAAATTAGAACGTGCAGGTTTTGCTCTAAACTTTAAAGCACAGTTGAATTTTTCTAGGGTTATTTGGGCTGTATGGAATAGTTTGCTGCTCTCTGGGAGTGTGACCCTATGGAGAGGTCAGGAATCCCACCCAAGGCAGTATCCATGGGTGCTCAGTCCAGAGTTCTGCCCTCTGTGCTTGTCCGTGCCTTGAATTGCCTGTCTTGGAGCTACCTTCATGTCCTGCCCATGGCCTCCCTGCCACACTGGGCCAGCTCTGGTGCTGTGCTGCAGCAGCCTTTCCCTGTGGACAATCCAGCTGACCCAAAAGGACAGTTTGGGTCGTATTTAAGAGTATCACTTGCTTGAAGATGCGCCTTTCAAACAGCTTCATTGCTAAGGATGCCAGACCAAGTGAAAAGGATCTGAACAGTGCTGTAGCATCAGAGGCTCAGCCCTACACAGAGTTAGAGGGGTGGGTGTGTGCTGTAAACAAGCTGTGAAATGGCCACTGGAGGCTTGATTCTATTGCAGTGGCACACAGCAACGTCACTTGCAACGTGTCATTTGGGGGGGGGTTGTGAGGGGGTGAAGTAAAACCATGTGTCTTCAGATTCTAGTGGAATTAGTGTATGGAATTTCTCTGTAAGAGAGCAATAACGGGATGGGGAGCACAGACTGGATGTGAGAAGCTCTGAAGTTTTGGGTAACTCTTTGTTTTCCCAGCTAATGGAAACGACATCAAAAAATTCAAAGGTGATAGAAGTGCTGGAGTCCCATCCCGAGTAATCCATGTCCGTAAGCTCCCCAGTGATGTCACGGAGGCAGAGGTCATCTCCTTGGGCTTACCTTTTGGCAAGGTCACCAATCTTCTCATGTTGAAAGGCAAAAATCAGGTATTGTCTCTGTAATTGCAGGCGGGGCTTGTGGCAAAGGCTTGATGAGTTTGTCATCTGTAAACCAGGCCCAGGTTGTTTAAACAACTGTCAAGTATTAGGAGTCAATAACATCTGCATGCTGTTATTTGACTTTTCCATGATTATCCCATGAGCTGTAGAAAATACTATTTTCAGGCTGTGCAAGGAGCTAAGTCCATAATTGCAGGTTGTCTCCTATAATCAGTGTTGTGCCTGGTTGCTAAATTGCAGAGCAGGTAAATTATTTGGACAGCAGTGACATGAGTTGGCCTCTTTTCACTCAAGCTGCTTTGACAGTTGAGTAACCACCAGTGTAACTTTGCATATTAGGGACACCTTTACAGGTACAATGAATTAGATGGGTAAAGCCAAACCACTCTTGGGTAATGCAAAAGGTGTGCACTAATTTGGTAACTAAAATTGTCTTGCAAATGAAGGAGTAAAAAAGCAAAGCCAGCTTTAATAATCTCTTTAAATACTCTGTCTTTAATATTAATTATGAAAATGTGCCTCTGATATATCACCTGCTGTGATTATATGTAAGTACTTAATGGAATGACTTGCCACAATCCCTTAGGCTTTTGTTCTGAAGTAGAAGACTATAAAGTCACAGAGCAGTGGGTGGGCTTGCTGCTGCTTAGAGAAGTATGGGGAGTTGCTTAAATGACAGGTGTTAAGAATCTGGATGACTGCTGGCTGCTTGTGTTCCTGCAGACACTTCTGCCACTTTCCTAAATATATATAGCATGGAGGTCTTAGGATGAGGCTGAAACATTACATTAAATCACTCTGGACAGCGAAGATCCTCCCTTGATCTTCGTACAGTCGATTCTTAATCCTATATACAGAAACCTGCATGGAAATGCAGTTGTGAAAATCAAATCCAGTTGCAGTTCAACTGGAAGTTCCTCCTAAAGGCAGCCATAGCGTGATGCTGTTGCCAAGTTCGTGCTGACTCTGATGTGTCTGTTGGGTTTCACTTCTGCACAGGCTTTCATAGAAATGAACACGGAGGAGGCAGCCAACACCATGGTGAACTACTACACCACTGTCACTCCAGTCCTCCGGAGCCAGCCCGTCTACATTCAGTTCTCTAACCACAAGGAGCTGAAGACAGACAACTCTTCAAACCAAGCTGTTAGTTGTTGTTCTTTACATTGTCGTACAGGTGGGAGGGAGAGACACTTCTTGGCAGCTGGTTTGAGTTGTGCTGCTGGTGTAGGCTTGGGAGGGCTTTAAGGTTTGGTTTAACAATCAAAGAGCAAAGTCTCTTATAACAGCCTTTATCCAAAGTCTCAGCAGACTCTTAAATGAGCTGCTAAATCTTGCTTCATGTCAGAGAAGGAGATGCAAAGTGAATAGGAGATAGAAGGTGGCTTAGCATCTTTTAGGTAGAAACAGTAACCGAGTACAGATCCGAAGACTTACTTAATGTCTTCAAGATTTATATGAAATGAAACTCTGATGGGCAAAACTGGAGCATGCAGCAGAGTGCAGCCTGTTGCTGGGAAGCACTGGTGTTGAGGCAGGCAGCACAGGAACACAGCAGTTCCTCAGGCTTTGGCTGGGCTGTCTGGAGTTTATGTGCAAGATCTGCTGTGCAAAGGGTAAGAAGTTCCCTGTTTTGACTCGACTGCTTTTGGCAGCCTTTCAGGACAGGAGCACTGGAAAGAAGTTCAAGTTACTTGTGGCTCCTTATCGGGGTGGCTACCCAGTACACCCATTTTGCTGCCTCTCACTTTTCAGGCTGAGTTTCATCAGGAGCAGAGCATCTAATGCTGTGCAGGTGAAAAAGCTACTTGTGGGTGCATCTAACAAAGCCAGCACCTGATGCAGGACAGAGAGAGCATCAGTGTTGTGTGAGCAAGAGGGACTCTACAGGGAGTAAATTCCCAGCCAGTTCTTGCTCTTGGGTCCCAATACAGATGGGCATTAATCTTATTCAGTTCTGTCAGCTTCTGTAGCATTCTGGAGATGGAGTTTCACTCCAGAAGAGCCTAGCTTTCCCTGAACAGTGGAATAATTCTGCTGCATCAGTAGATGCTGAGCAAGGTTCTGGCCTTAGAAAGTACTTAAAGTAGTACTTATGCTAGTGCTAATAAGCTATTTTACTGAGTTTGCTCTCACTGATGGGGATGGTCTGCACTGCCCGTGTTCAAAACCTGCCAAAGTCAGTACTTCCCCAGCCTTAGGAGCCATAAACTGCTCTGTGCATTGTGCTCCCTGCTGAGTTCTAGCAGTCTGCAGACAGGAAGCTCAAGGAAAGCTGCATGTGTCTGTTGTGCAAGCACAAGTGTGTGTCTAACAGCGTCTGGTTCTGCAGCGTGCTCAGGCAGCTCTGCAAGCCGTGAACTTGGCGCCGCCGGGGAGCCTGGCCCTGCCGGCCGCTGCCGCAGCCGTGGATGCAGGAATGGCCATGGCTGGCCAGAGCCCTGTCCTGAGGATCATTGTGGAGAATCTCTTCTATCCTGTCGCTCTGGATGTTCTGCATCAGGTAAAACCTGGCGCCACACCTTCTTGAAGGTGGTGCTGGAAGGAGGGGTTGTGTTTGCCATGTCTGTGTTCTAACAGGATGTGGGTTTACCTCTATGATAAAAGCTCTGAACGCAGCTGCCAAAAGTCTTCTGGAGACCCCAACACCTACCAGAGATTGCTCTGGTTTTGCTTCCAGTCTGGCCAGACTTTAATGTCCAGAGATTTGGCTGCTGGTCCATTTTCCTTGGATTACTTGAAAACAGTTCCGCTTTCAAGATGGCTCTTCAAGTTCTGCTTGGGGTTTAGCAGAAGTAGCTGCCTCATGTTTGTCTGCAAGGGTAGGGGGAAACCAATCCTGTGCCTGGAGGTCGTTGGGCAGTAGCTTATTTGGCAAGTTCCTGTTGCAGTTGCTTAATTTCATCTCTGTGTTTAAAATGCAAGCTTGACTGTGTTGAAGCAGCTCTGAAATGCTTGGAAAAGCTTCAGTTTGGGAAGGTGTATATGAACCTTCCTGTGTAAAAGTTCCTAACAGACACTTTAAGGAGACAGCTGGGTCACCCTGGTGTTTTTCTAGTCGGATGCCATGATACAAGTATAGTTTAAAGCCTTACATTTTGAAGTTGGAAAGCTGACAAGGCGAAGGAATAACGTTTTGTTGTTTCTGCTTCTACTCATGGAGATCAATATGAGATGAACTCGCTGGAAAGGAGCTAACAAGAGATGCAAATATTCTCTTACAGATTTTCTCCAAGTTTGGTACAGTCTTGAAAATCATCACATTCACAAAGAACCACCAGTTCCAGGCCCTGCTGCAATATGCTGACCCAGTGAGCGCTCAGCATGCCAAACTGGTGAGTAGTGTGCTTGTAGTGCCAATACCTGAGCTATTTTCACTTTTAGGTTTGCTTTTATTAGTTTAGGATCAATGTTAGAAGTGTTTTGGGGTGCTGGGGCGAGGGGATCACAGGGTTTATGTGAGCATTGCCCATGAGCAGGAGTGGTGCAGCTAATGGGAGAACACTGAAGGGGTCTCGGGGATGAAGTGGTACTTTCCCCACACAGTGGGGGATACCTGCAGACGTCCCAACAGAGCCCTGGTACCTGGGATGTTGTAACACCTTCTGTGTGATCTCAGGGTAAATGCATGTTGGGTAAGGAAAGGTTTGTTTCTTTGCAGTCTTTAGATGGACAGAACATCTACAATGCCTGTTGCACGCTCCGCATAGATTTCTCAAAGCTCACAAGTCTCAATGTGAAATACAATAATGATAAGAGCAGAGATTACACACGACCGGACCTACCTTCTGGGGACAGCCAGCCCCCTCTTGATCAGACCATGGCAGCTGCTTTTGGTAAGAACCCTTGCAGTGGGCACAGAACCGATGCATGTGGCAGTTGGGGAAGGGGAGGGGATGTAACCTGGGTGTATTTTCAGGTTGTATGTAAGGAAGAAGTTCTTTACTGTAAGGGTGGTGAGGATAAGGGTGCCCAGAGAAGTGATGAACGCTCCATCCCTGGCAGTGTTCAAGGCCAGGTTGGACAGAGCCTTGGGCAACATGGTCTTAGGGTAAGGAGTCCCTGCTCATGGCAGGGGTTGGAACTGGGTGATCTTAAGTTCCTTTCCAACCCAAACCATTCAATGATTCTATTGGGTCATCCGGAATTGTGAAATATGACTGAGGAGGAAAACATAGAAACCACTGGATCAGAGTAGTGCAAACTACTTGTAGGCCCCTGTGGCTATGGGTGCTTGCTGCTGCTTTGGAAGCTGTTCTTCATTGGGGTGAGGACTGGTTGAGGCTTTGCAGCTATCTGGGCTTCTGGTGCCATCTGCTGCTTTGGCAACAGTATGAACTTGGGGTGGTGTCAGCTGCACTTGGAAACCTGGGGTGGGTAGGCACTTACAGGAGCTATTAGCTTGTAGTCTTGTTAACAGCAGAGTTAGAGGAAGGGGGAATTGTTCTTGTAGTGTCTTGAAGCTCAGTGTTAAATTAGAGACATTTTTGAGTTCCTGCTTGGTTTAGGGTTTAGCTTTCAACTGAATGCATGCGTTGAAGGCCAAATGAAGACATTCCAGCTAAGTCTAGAGGTTTTCTTGCTATTGGGTGTTGTGTATAATGTGTATATCTTTCCCAGGTGCCCCAGGAATAATCTCTCCTTCTCCATATGCAGGAACTGGCTTTCCTCCTGCCTTTGCAATTCCTCAGGCTGCAGGTACTGTATTTCGTAAGTTGAAATTTTATATAGATTCTCTGTTGCTGAAGCATCTTGATGATTTAAAGCTAAGTAGCCATATTTTGGGAGGTTAGTGGTGTCAATTCTCAATGCTGGCACTTGGGCACAGAGGGAAATGGTGTTTCAGTAGGTAAGCTCAACTCAGAATGCAGATGTGGTACCTCTGGCTAGGAAGTATCCCAGGGCAAAGAGGGAAGCTGGGAGCAGGATGGGGAAGTCAGTAAAGGCAGTAGTTAAAATAACTGGGGGAGATGGGAAGGGGGGTGAAACGTTTTGAATTTCCTCCTGCTATTACAGAGGTTTGAGCTCAGTTTGACAGCCGTAGATGTGGTCAAAAGCAAGGAATCCTTGTCCATATTTCCCTAAATATTTGGAGTAAAGCTGTTGTCTAAACGTGACCCATATGACACGCACTGTTGGAGCTGCACTGGCAGTTTGCAGCTCATCCTGCAGGTAACAAATTACTACTACTTGCAGAAGTAGCCAAGTGCCCAAGGTTCAAGGCTTGGGGTTTAGGTGCTGAACCCACTTACTGCATTGCCAGACTAAACAAGGTCTGCTTTGGTTTTTATCGCAGACCAAACTCTGTTGACTTCCTTGGAACTTGATGGAATTTCCTTGCTTAGGACAAAGCAGCACAGATCTAAGGGTGGAACTGTTAATGTTTTGTTAATACCCTGTTGGGGGAATATCCTGTGCCAGGTGGAGGAGGGATTATATTGATTACTAGTGGTGTTTCTTGAGCTCCAAAGCTCTGCCCTTTGGAGAGCTAATGCAGCAAGGTGCCAGCAGTTACTGTGAGCAACCTAGAAATGCCTGTAAATAAAACTAATGCTTCTCCATTCCTGAAGAGATGAGCTGGTGGTAGCCTACCACCAGCTAACGCCTCCTGTTAGATGCATGGTTAAAGAACAAAAGTGTGTTGGCATGCACTGGATGGAAAGACCCTTCCAAATGCACTGTGTGCGATACCTTTCCTGCACCAGCAGAGCTGAGGCTTTGTGCTGATTCCGCTTCTTGTGAGACACGCAGCATATTGTAGTCAGCCAGACAGTGCTGAGGCACCCGTTAAGCACCAGGCACTGCAAGAGCAAATCCCATCACAAACCATGCCATTTCCTGCAGCACCAGAATTGGAGGCTCCTCTTGCTCTTAGCATACACGGTCACTGTGGTTCGAATTATGACCTGCATGTTACAGAAGGTGCTGTTCTCCCTTCTGGTGCAGCAAATACACTAGAGTACGTGCTGTTAATTTCTTTACTGGTTAATATTCTTTAATTTCCAGGCCTGACAGTTCCAAGTGTTCATGGAGCACTAGCTCCTTTGGCTATCCCAGCAGCTGCAGCGGCTGCAGCAGGACGGATTGCCATTCCCGGCCTCACTGGGGCAGGGAACTGTGTGCTGCTGGTTAGCAGTCTGAATCCTGAGGTTAGTGGAGTCCTAACTTTACTCTTTTTTTTTCTCCTCCTTCTATTACCTCTGCTTTCACTTTCTGAACACAGATTGTGCTGAAAGTCATTGAAAGTGAAATGCTGCCATAACCTAAAGGAAATGGCAAAACTAGAAAAGCAGCTGCTGTGCTCTGCCAGCTCTCAAACTCAAAGCAGATCAGTACTCTAGTTGCTGAAGGGAAATGAGAAAGTCCATCTCAAATTAAAACCTTGCTCTTCTTTGGTTCAAAGCCAAGGATGCTGCCTGCCTGCTCTCATCCCATAAAGACTACAATGCCTGTCCCTTCCTCCCTCTTTTTATTTGGAGTCTCCCTGCCATTCCCATGGAGTAGTGTCATTTGGGTCACAGAATAGTCATGTCCATGCTTTCTTTTCCTTGGCATGTTCTAGTTTTTAATACATTAATTCAGAACTACAGAGAGACTTTGTTCTGACCTTTGCTCTTTCTGTGTAGTGTCTGGACGCCTGCCAGCTTGACCTTGTACCTGTGCAGTATTTCCTCTGCCATGTGCTTGCACATTTTCCCTTTCCAAGATCCCTGGAAGTTTTTCCTTAGCTAAACCCCTTAACAGCTCACAGTTCACATTTTCAATTCTACTTAACTTAGTGAGTTGAAATATTTGGATTCCTTTAAAAATACAGCAAATAATATTTGAACAAAAATCTTTCACTAAAGACAGCAGCACAAGAGAATCTGATGTGGGTATCTTGGACTTTTTCAGTCAGCTTTTGGCTCTTTGTTGGATTGAAAGTGTAGAATCTTCTAGTGTGTGCAGTAGAGTCTCTGCTGCAAACCCCTTTAACTGGTGGGACTGTGCACACAAGTTTAATGCTACTTGGCAAAGCTCTCAAACTTACCGGTGATGTCAGAGTAACCACAAAACCTCTTTTGCATCAAAGGGAAAGCCTGGATGTGATGAATGATCAAAGTGTTTTTAACTCGTGATGAGATGAACCAATTGACTCAATATTTTCAGACTGCTCTTTTTATCTGTCATTACTGTTTTCTCCAGGGCATGAAATAATGGCAGGGACTGGGATACAGCTTTGGTTTGGATGAGTTGCTCTTCTACCTAGGAACTCCTCTGCCATCCCAGGAGCTGTCACCGCTGCCTCGCTCCCATGACTTGCTGGTCAAACAGAAGTCCCAAACGTTAGGAGCTGGTGACATTATTCTCAACCAGCGCTGTCAGGAGTGTGGTTCTTGGGAGGATTTGGTAGCCTGGGTGGCAGTGGCAGGCCCAAGGGCTGTGCTGGACCTGTTAAACTTGCACGAGTTCTCAGCTCCGAGCAGTGTCTGAACGGTGCACGCAGTTCTTGGTGAAGTAGGAGAGAGCAGTTATTTCATGCCTTGTGGTTTTTGGTGAGCTCTTCACTATCCATCCAGCTTATCTTTGGGCTAGAGAGACTTTGATACTTGTACTGAAGCTGTGAACTAACAGACATGAAACTTTTTTCCATTGCCTGTATAATCAGTGTTGTAGAAACTTACCTGTGCCACAACTGGTTAGTTAAGAGACAGTATTTCTCTGGAGTGACTGCTCTGCCATAACGTAGGTGGGTTTTCCCTGATTTGGAACTGTGGAAACTGAAATAACTCCCTTTTTCCTTTCCACGATGAGTGGAAGAAATCTGGCTTGACTTGGAATACAAAGTGCTAGGAGCAGAGAGGTTTTTCATGCCTTTCCAGCTGCCTGCATAGCAGCAGTTTGGGGTTTCTATGTGGTGAGCTCAAGCCTTGGAGGCCTCTTGCAAACCAGATACCGAGTTCTTCTGGAGCAAGAGCTTTTAGCAGACCTTTGAGGGGTTTTGTATAGTGGTACAGCTGCTCATCCAGAGCCATCTCTTGCCGTAAAGGCAGTGAATTGGGCTGCACAGCATGGAGCACTTCTGCAGTCTCCGGGCCTAAAGCAGCAAATGCAGCTGGGTTTGACCCGAGCTGTGAAGTCATTTCCCCTTAAGAAATTCTTGCAATCGGAGCAGATACTTTTAAATCCAGTTTTAGGGAATCCCGTTGCAGTGGAATTGACTGTTGAAGCCTGTAGAAGTCACTCGGTTGTGATACTGTCTCTTACCTCTTTGTATATCTTAAGTAAAAATGCCTTTTCTTTATCATTGTGTTCCACTAGGTAAAACCTATTAACTGTTTCTGTAAACGAGTTATTGTATGTAGAATTCTATAAATCTGACTGATGGAACACTACATATTTCCTTATGTATTTACTGACCTGTGTTTTTTGCTACTTTTTTTTCTTTTCTCCCCATCCCTGAATTTTTTTTCTTCCCCTGATCCGGAATTTCTTTGCCAACTGACTGCACGGTACTTCTGCTTCCTGTTGTTGCTTGAAACAAAACAATAAAAAAAACACAAAACATTCCCCTTCCAAACAAAAACCCAACAAAAAACCCAACAAACACAAACCAAACCAAAAAAAAAACCATAAACCCTGCTCTTCGGAAACCAACCTGCCCTTCAATATTAACCATCTTGAAAACTTCATCATCCATCAACCAATTTCGCCATTTCCTGCGGGGACTCTGCCCTTCCTCGTTGTGGACGATTTGTGCAACCTCGCTCTCCCCTTCGATTCCTTACCTCTTCCCTGTCCCTCCGCTGCCTTGCTCTGCTGTTCTCTAAAGAGAGTTACACCCCAATGCCTCTTTATTCTTTTCGGTATGTTATTATTCACACTTTTTATTACCTTGTTTTTTTTTTCATTTAGTTGAGATTTACTTTTTTTGTTGATACTTCAGAAATGTACAGTTTGCAGTTTGCTTTAGTTTTTGGTTTTGAATGCGTAATTTTTATTTGTTTTCATTTATTTTACATTGTTTTACTTAAAGTTTGCTATTTAATTTAGTTTGCCTTTTGGTTTATGTTCAGTTATGCATGGGTTATTGCTTTGCATGCCTTTTAGAAGAGTTTTAAATGGTGATAGCATGCTAAATTGTCCAGTCTTCTGGCAGTAAGAGTTTTGCTTTTTTGCTGAAACCCAGTGTCTTTTCTTTAATGTATTGTTCCATTATTATTCTGCTATATAAGAATTTTCCTTAACTAGAGCAGAATAAATAACCATGGTTGGAATGAGATCAGTTCTGGTTGTGAATGAATGTTTTTGCTGTTGGATTGATTAGCTAATAGTAAGTTAAAAAGACTTTGTGGGGTTTTTTCCCTACCTAAAGAATCTTCTTCTTTCCTCACTTATTGAAGGAGTCTATGGTGATGTGCAGAGGGTGAAGATTTTATTTAAGAAGAAAGAGAATGCCCTCGTTCAGATGACTGATGGAAACCAGGCCCAGCTTGGTAAGCAGGCTTGAGCAGTATCAGACTGTTGGCATTAAGAGGCCTCATGGGGAATTAAAGCTTTAATATCAGTCCTTTCTCTTCCTCCAAAACAAAGACCCCAAACCTGAATGTGTCCGTGCGCTTGCTTGCGTACGTAGTGCAGGCTGGGGTAGCTCTGGAGAAAGGTGTGCTTGATTTGGCTGAGCAAACCCAGAGGGAGAATGGACCAGACAGTGCAGGAAAGCAGAGTACCAGTGTTTGTCCTGCAGCTCCTGGAGGATGTGGTGCCTGCATGGGGAAGAACCAGAATGAAATGGGTGTAGCTGAGTAAAGGAGTGAAGCCTGTTGCAGTCAGCGCTGTCTTTAACCCTTGCAGCCATGAGCCATTTAAATGGGCAGAAGCTCCACGGGAAGCCCATCCGTATCACCCTGTCCAAGCACCAGACAGTCCAGCTCCCCCGTGAGGGGCAGGAAACCCACGGCCTGACAAAGGACTATGGGAATTCTCCTCTACATCGTTTCAAGAAACCAGGCTCCAAAAATTTCCAGAACATCTTTCCTCCTTCTGCCACTCTTCATCTGTCCAACATTCCGTAAGTATCCTCCTGGAGAGTTCCTCTGGAGCTGAGTATAAAGTGGGCTGCAAATTTAGTGGCAGGGTAAACACAGGCAGCTTTATGGGGCGAGCAGGAGGAGAGCTTGCCCCTATTCCCGTTGTTCTCTCAGCCTTGCCAGTTCAAGGAGCTGCTGGTAGAGAATTTAGGAAAGGCTCTGATGAGGATTTGTATGTAGGGGTGAATTTAGCCTGTCAGCATACATTTGACTGGAAAACCTTCTGTTTCAGACCTTCAGTAACTGAAGAAGACCTTAAGATGTTGTTTTCAAGCAACAGTGGGGTGGTCAAAGGATTCAAATTCTTCCAGTAAGTGTTTTGTCTTGCATCCTCTCCTTACCCTGGGCTTTTCAGTATGAGAAGGGTTAGAAGTACTTTGTTCTGAGGGAGTTCCAACTCGGGCTCAGGTGAGCAGAACCGTCACTGATGCAGTATTTGGTTCTCTGCAGTAAAGAATTCAGGAATAACCCTGGATTAAGTGCATGGTATGGGTTGAAAACCAAGGCAGCCAAGTGAGCTCTTTGGATATGCCTGTTTTTCATGGAGAGAGGCACTTGCATGTAAAAAGGAAGGATACTGCAGTTTCCTGGGCAGTTAATTTCCTGCTGGCGTTGAGTGTTCGATCAGAAAACACTGTGTCATGTTGGGGAAGCTCAGCACAAGGTGGTGCTGATCTTGATTAACCTTCTGTCTTGTCAGGAAGGACCGTAAGATGGCTCTGATCCAGATGGGCTCTGTGGAAGAGGCCATCCAGTCCCTCATTGACCTCCATAACCATGACCTGGGTGAGAACCATCACCTGCGTGTGTCCTTCTCGAAGTCCACCATCTAAAGCTTTGGAAGGCGTGAGACAAAATGGACTTGACTTAAAACCTCTTGGGTTCAGCCTTAGGCCTTCTTCAAAGGCTGAACACGAGGGTTTCAACTTCCATCATTCCATGAAAAAAAAAAAAAAAGCCACTTTAAAAATGCAGCTGAAGTGACCTTAAAAGACCAGAGATTTTTATTTTTTTAGAGAGAAATCGGTTTACCGGTTTTAAAAACAAAACCCAGTGAAATCTTAATTCCTCTTGCGGTGATGGGTAACAATCCTGACTGTTCCAATAAAAATCACAAGTTCAAGTTTACACTTTGGAACCTGCTCTGGGAAGTTTCCCCCTCTCCCTTGCTGTTCCTTCTCCCCTCCTTCCTCCAAAAAGCAGATCCTACCATGTTGATCAGGTTTCACATTGATGCCTTGTCTATTTTCTTTACCCATCCATGCCTTGAAAGACCTAAAACCACTGTGTGAATTCACTTGAGCGCCTTTCGAGTCAGGAGTTTGCAAACCCGTGGTGTCCAGGAGCTCCCAACTCACCCAGCACTGTGAGAAGTTGGCTGTTGATCCTACCTTAACTGTGCATCTGCTGTCCTGTGCCTTAAAAACCTGTTCCTTCTTTGGGGAAAACATCTGAACTGCAGGGAGTGGATTTGGGAGAGTTGAGGGCAATGAGTGAGCTCTGGCTTAACGGGATCAGCTTGTGGTGGTGGAGAGGTGAAGGTGGCAAAGTGGATAAAGAAAATATTGGGCTTTGACTCTTCAGGCAGTTGTGAAATGTCTCCGTGTGCACAGTATCGTGTGTCTCGTGCCACTTCCCACTCTGCTCCTGCTTTATCACCATCCGCAAGCTGCCGAGTAGGGAGTTCCTTTGCCCATCCATCACATTGGGACCGAGCAGAAGGGGCCAGGGTGGGGAAATGTTCCCAAACCCAACTGACATTCCATTGCTGATAGCGCCGGAGGCTCCGCCTGTGCGGGAGCCTCCCATCAAGAGACAAAATTAACCACTGCTGGACACTTGTGAAGACGAATCATTACGAGTCTCTCAGAAATCGTGTGTGTAAATATCTATGTCTAAATACTCGGCTAGGATTCGGAGAATTATGGGATATCCCACGTTTAGGAAGGTGCTCCCCTGAGCCACCTTCGTGCCCCTGAGTTGAGATTAACAAGACCAGTGTAGCTCTGCCATCGTTCTTATAGCATGTCTTCAGCATTTGAGCTTTTTTTTTTGGGGGGGTGGTGGGGTGTTAATTCTTGTATTATACTTTTGGATGCTGTTGCTGTCATCTGTGCCTATAGCAATATTTCCAGTTGACCAAATATTCTAATCTCTTTATTATGCAAAAGAAATAGTTTTAAGTACCTTTTTTTATAGAATGGTAAGATGGTATAAACGTACTCTAAATTTACTCCTTTGTGCTATTACCCTCTATACTGTACTTTTCCTTTCTCTCTTTTTGGTTTTTGTTTTGTTTTGTTTCGTTGGTAATTGAAATCAGTAGGGCAGGAATCTTTAGTTGCAGGCTGAGGTCATGACTGAGGATGAGGAATGTACCGAGATCCGTGAAACACCAGAAGCAAAAAGCAGACTTGGGAAGCCAAGCGGTGGAGGTGACGGGCACAAAGAGCTTGTGCCTTAAAGGAAAGGACGCAGGTGAAGGTTTTACCTTTTTAACCTCGAAGCCCAGATCTAAGTTATAGGAAGGGAATTTATTAAAAGTAGATTGCAGCAGATTGGTTTCTTTCCCCCCCCCCCCCCCAAGAAAACCCATGTATTGTTTGTTTTTCCTGGCTTCTGCCTCTTTCCCGGGCCATTCTGCCTTCTCTTTCGTGTGATCCGATGTTGCCTTACATTTTCCCTCTAACCTGCAACCTGTTCGGATGCAAAATAACACGAATCTTGTACTTTTTTTTCAGGGTTTTTTGTTTAGTTTTGTTTTTTTTTCCTGCAAATTGTGGACCAAAGTTTGTTTTTTAATTGTCTTAGTGTGTTGCAAGTCAGGATTTCCTGGCTTAGTGTGGGAGCTCTTGACTTGCCTGGCACTGAGTGTTTGGAAAAGTCTTAACTTGCCGTAGCTCCTCCCTGAGCTCTCAAGGATGTGAATTGGACTGGAGAAGCGCGTGAGGTCTGAGTGAGGGTTCAGCTTGGGCTGCTGACAGGAGGGGGGGTGTCTGGCTGCGGCGTGGAAAACCAGCTTCCTTGGAAGCCTTGCCCCACTTGTGCCGGCGCCACCGGGTTTGGTTACCCCGAAACGTGGGCAAAAGCCTCTTGCTGCAGCTCCACGCCTCCTTGCCAGCACCTCAACGTTCAGGAGGGCAAACCCAGGCGTCTGGTGGTGGGTGTCCCTCCCCAGGTGACAAACCCATTCCCCTGCAGCCCTGGGGCCGGGCTTGGATCTGAAATGTGTTTGAGAAGCCTCTCCCAGGGCGTTGGGAAGAGGCTGCTTGGAAGGAGACTTGCCCCTGGGGGGGTGCCTTGACCGCTGCTTCGGTCACCCCACGGGCTGGAACCAAGTGCAGGCAAATGGAGGTGACCCACGACCAGGCGCCCGTGGGTCTTTTCCTTTGGATCCCTGTGTTTGCATGTAAAGAATGTGAGTAACAAAAGGGTGTACATATTTATACTTTTTTTATACCTGTTGTAAGACATGAGGGGGCAGCAAAACCCGGTTTTTTTATGGTGAAACAGATGTATTGTATATTTTGATAACAGCGATTCCAGGTTCAGTATTGCGGAAGGCGGGGTGGGGAGGGGAAGCGTTACCACACCATCAGAATTCCATTGCCTCTTTCAACGAATGTTTGTAATGCAAAAAGAAATGAAATTAAAACTATTTTATAACAACCTTTGTACCTTTCTGTAGCTCCATTATTTACTGTTCAGATTGTAGAAAGCAGTTGTTGGCCAGTCTGTACTTGTGCTTTCAATAAATTTCTTCTGTATTCTTTGCTTCTGATTTCCCTCTCTCTTTATTGTGCCTGTTTTGCTTCTGATTTTTCCCTCCTCACGTAATTCCAGCTTGGTTTGTGTTACTGGGATCCTCCTCGTGCGCATCCATGGGGAGCGGGTGGTGGTGATGCCCGAAAGGGCACTGGGCTGCGTGTCCTATCCTGACCAGCCATGGAGCGGAGCTGCAACCTGGCACTCTGCCTTTTTTACTTCACATTCCTAAACTTTCCCTATATTCTAGCTAATACCCATGGAATAACCCACTTCCCAGTCAAATACTCTCTAGTTTAATGCTTTAGGTGTGTTGGAGCTTTCTGGCTGGAGGGCCTGCCGCTTCCCGGCCAGCATGAGCGGCATTCCCTGCTGTCTCCTGCAGGATTCTTTTGGTTCTTGGACCCGTTTGTTTCCCCACGGAGCAGAGTTGGGGTCTTCCCTGTGTGCTCAGCTTGGTTAAAGCTCCTTCCCAGCAGTCAGCGTTGGGCCTGGGGCCCTTAGGATGTGCTTGGATGCCATGGAGCAGCCGGGAGCTTTGGAGCAGGAGTCTGGAGGAGGATGCCCAGGGGCAGGGGGAAAGGTGGATGGATGAATCCGTCAGTGGGAAAGAGCTGGTGCTTCCATGGCTCTGCTGTGCTCTGTCCTTGACCACATTCCCTTTGTGCCCAGCCCATCAGTGCGGAGCATGGAGCAGCCTCCAGGGTTCCCAACCCCATCCCCGGGGGAGCCTCCGCCTGCTGGAAGGAATCCCTGGTGTTCTCTGAAGTGTAACCGGGTTTGTGACGGCTGCTGGGGTGGGAGCACGGCCGAGCAGGACCTGGCCCTTCCCATGGGAGCGAGCTGCTCCTGCCCCCTGCAGCCATGCGGTTGGTGATGGTTGACGCCGGGGTGGTCGTTACAACCTCAAGGGGTTGAACCCTAAAGCAGCACCGGCATCCGCAGCTCCCGCTGCCGGCCTGGCGCTCCAGCAGCTCCCTGGGGATGCTTTTGCTTCCCATGCCCGTCCCTGTCCCTCTGGCATCATGGCTCATTAGCTCCCTGATGCAGGAATTGCGGCCTCCCAGCGCTGCCTGCGGGCAAATATTGATGGCGATGGGGCTGCGTTGCCGTGGAAACGCGGCAGCTGCCGACGAGGATGGATCCTGCCCATGGATCCACAGGAACGCCCCGTGCGTCCCGGAATGGCCCCGGTGGGGTCAGTGTGGCCCCGGGATGGGATGGGATGGGATGGTCTCTGCCATTGTTCCTATGGGATGGGGCAGGGGATGGGGGCTGTGAGACCCCCCTGCCCCGTCCCCAGCCCAGGGCCAGCGCTGACCTTGTATGTGATCAGGACACTGCTGTGACAGGGGAGGGGGCTCCTCAATGGGAGACCGGAATGTTTCCCAGCCTTGGGAGGATGGGGATGGAGAAGGATGGGAATGGAGGAGGATGGGGATGCAGAGGGATGGGAATGGAGGAGGATGGGGATGCAGAGGGATGGGGATGGAGAAGGATGGGAATGGAGGAGGATGGGGATGCAGGGGGATGCGGATGGAGAAGGATGGGAATGGAGGAGGATGGGGATGGAGGAGGATGTGGATGGAGAAGAACGGGGATGGAGGATGATGGGGATGCAGGGGGATGCGGATGGAGAAGGATGGGAATGGAGGGGGATGGGGATGGAGAAGGATGGGAATGGAGGAGGATGGGGATGCAGGGGGATGCGGATGGAGAAGGATGGGAATGGAGGAGGATGGGGATGGAGGAGGATGTGGATGGAGAAGAACGGGGATGGAGGATGATGGGGATGCAGGGGGATGCGGATGGAGAAGGATGGGAATGGAGGAGGATGGGGATGGAGAAGAACGGGGATGGAGGATGATGGGGATGCAGGGGGATGCGGATGCTCCTGTTCCCCCAATGGGGCCCCAAGCATCGCTGCTGGGGGTGCTGCTCCCCGGGGGGGGGGGCTGTCAGTGCTGCGGGAGCCGTGCGGGGCTGGCAGTTGCCATGGAAACCGCTGGGTCAGAGGCAGCGGGAAGCGGCGGTGGAGCCATCGCTCCCCGCAAGGAGCCGCGAGAGCGGCGCCGGGGGCTGCTGGGACCCCCCCTTCCCTCCCACCCGGCCTCGGCCACCGGCTCCGCTTCACCCCCCCGGGCTCACCCACGACCCTTGTGCTGCTGCCGAATGGTGCTGAGCGACCCCCCCCCCCCCCCCCGCCCCATCGCATCCCCCCAACCCATTCACTGGGCAGGCGCTGCCCCCGATCCTCCCGCTAATCCCGGGGTGGTTTTTCCCGCACGGAGCCGGGGTTATGCAGGATAATCCATATGTTTGCAAGGCGAAGGCTTTGGGATCTCCACCGTTAATCCAATTGGCGCTGGCAGTTCGGTGCCATGGGCCCATCACCGGGAGGGGGGGCCACACCACGGGGAGGCCCATGCGGTGCCGGATGCTGCGGTGCTGGATCCCGCGTTGTCACGGCAACGCGGTGGGAAAGCGCAGCGGCAGCGACACGGGGAGGGGGGGGTCTCTATTGACGGGGTACCCCCTCCCCTCCCCATCAACCTGGGGTGCGATGGGGACCCGCAGCCCCTTCCTCGCCCCGGGGGGGTGTGGGGGTCACGTCGAGTTTATGGTCAATGGGTTGAGGAGCATGTGGGGGGCTTTAACCCGGCTTGGGGATGGGGGGATGAAGGATCCTGAGCCCATTTGGAGCATGGGGGTCCCCAGGTGGCCACATCTCCTTGGGAACGGGGGGCTCATGCGGTGCGTTAGGAGCATCCTCCCCCCCCCCAAGCAGCTCCCCCATGGCAAAGGAGCCCAGGGGGGGAACATCCACGTGTTTATTTGCTTTCCAAACCACGGCCGTTCCAGCCATCGCCCAACAAATGCATTCACAGCCTCCAATCCCCCCCGCATCCCAGCCCAGGGCTGCTGCCGCTGCTCCTGGGGTCAGAGCTCAGCCCCAGCTCCCCCTGCGCCCACCCCATGGCCCACCCTCTCCATCAGCCCATGCACTATTTACAGCCTCCGTGTGCCCAGAGCCCCGGCCCTGGGCACCCCCCCGTCCCCCTTCGTCCCCCCCCCAGCACTGGCACAGGATGTGGGGCTGCGGGACCCCCAGCATCCACAAACTAGGGCCCGCTGCCCCACGGCAGCCCCAAACCCCAGCACCCCTCAATCCAGCCCCCCCCAAAGCCCTTCAGCATCATTTTCCCCCTCCCACCCCCCAGGAATACTCTTCCAGAGCTGGAATAATTTATGACCCCCTCTGAAATGTCAGCACCATGTTAGAGAGAAGAAAAACGTCCAAAGTGCTTGGAGCTGCCCAACCACGGTTGGGGGGCAGAGCCCCCTGAGCCTCCCCAGCGCCCTGGTGGGAGCAGGGTCCCACAGGGGGGCTCCCACACATCCCGGCTGCCTCAGGGTCCGCTGTGACCGTGCTCGGCTGCATCCTTGCGCTGCTCCATCACCCCAATGCCACAGAGACCCCATCCTCATTCCCCCCCCCCATCACCAGGAAGGGGGGGGAGCCGTGGGGAAGGCACCGGGGTCAGAGAGTGGGGGGGGGCCTCAGTCCTTAAACCTGCGCCCGGCTTGCATTTTCTTGTAGTAGTGGTCCCCATCGCTGTCCCCCTGCGCCTCCCGCTCCGCCGCCGGCTTCCTCCGCAGCGTGGACTCGCGGCTGGCGGTGCCCGGCAGCCCCTCGGTGTCCCCCCCCCGCTCGCCCCCGGCCATGGCGGCCAGGCTGCCGTAGCGCGGCTCGTCCTGCTCCATGTCGCTGATGGAGGAGCCCGGCGAGACGCCGGCGCTCTTGGCCGGGTGGAAGCCGCGGAACTCCTTCCCCATCTCACCCAGCTCGTAGGCATCCGGCCCCTCGGGGCCCTTGGGCCCCGATTTCCACTCCCAGGGCCCGTTGCCGGCGGAGAGATGGACGACGGGGTGATGGGGGGCATGGGCGTCGATGGTGATGATGCTGGAGCTGTCCCGCTCCGAGGGCGAGCGGTACTGCGAGGAGTCGGAGCTGGTGGACGACGACGACGTCTCCGAGTGCTTGGGGGTGACGGAGACCATGCCCTGCTGCTTGGACATGGCGATGACCTGCATGAGGCGCGGGGGGTTGGCCACCCGCTGCGCACCCCCTTTCTCGGCCACCATCACCCACTTGGCCCTCGCGGCTGCGCTGGCCCCGGCGGGGACCCCGGCGCCCGCCTGGGTCTCCTCGGGGATGTGCACGAGCTGCGAGGCGCCCGCGCGGGGCTGGATGAGGACGCGGGGCCCCACGGCCGCCCGCTCGGCCGCGCGCGCCTGCACCGTGGGGTACAGCGACGGGGGCACGTCCTCAGCGGCATCCCCGGCACCACGGCCCTGCGCCGCCTCCTCCGCCAGCGTCATGCTCCGGCCCTCCAGTGACTTCTGCTTCCACTCGGTGATGAGCTGCTTGGAGCGGGAGGCGTCCACGGGGACGTGGATGGTCATGTGCCGGCGCGCGGGGTCGTCCATGGACGGCGTGTTGACGCGGGGCAGGGTGTTGCTGAAGGTCACCATGTTCTCCTTGCCCATGGGGCTGCGGGGGGCCAGCAGGTCCACGTCCACGCTCGCCCGCTTCAGGCTCCCCAGGGAGTTCTTCTCCCGCGGCACCGGTCGCGCCGCCTCCTCCAGCCGCGCCTGCGGGTTCAGCTCGTCGGTGCTCACCGACTTGTTCTGCTGGTACACGGAGTCGTGGCCCCGCTGCGTCAGCGCCCGCAGAGCATCCTTGGCCGGCGCCGGCACCGGGATCCTCTCGGTCGGGGCGCGGAAGTTGCCGACAGCGTGGAACGCCTGCGGGAGCGGGAGCGCGGCGTCAGCACCGGCCCGGTGCCGCGGCCGCGCCGAGCGTCCTGCCCGCGCAGCACCCACCAGGTAGGCAGCGATGCCGGAGCCGATGAGGAAGCCCACGTAGACGTCGGCCGGGTGGCTGCGGTACTGGGTGATCTGGGTCAGGCCGCAGATGCCGGCGGCGATGGCGAAGGCGAAGACCAGGATGGGCTTGAGGAGTTTGGTGCTGTCCGAGATGATGGAATTGAAATACATCTGGTGGCGGCAGCGATGGGGCAGGAAAAGGCCGTTATCCGCGGCTCATGGCACCGGCACCCACCGCAGCATCCCCCTTCCCCAGCCATGCACATGGGTGCGCACGGACCCAACCCAAGCGCCAGCCAACCCAACGCAGACACACGTGGGCCAACACGGAGCCCACGCCGTGCCCGAGAGCCGGGAACTCACCGACACGTAGACGGCAGCGAACGCCGAGAGCGTTGCGTGCTGGGATGGGAAGGTTTTCCTGCGGGAAAACTGCAGTGCTTGGGATGGGGCAGGAGCGTTGGCACCGCGGCACGCATGGACCCCCCCCCGGCACATACCTGGCAGAGAGGATGGCGTGTTTGTCCGTGCCCGAGCAGATGTCCTGGGTGATGTAGGGGTTGGCATCGCAAGGGGTGCCCAGCAGCGTGTAGTTGGGCTTGCAGACGGTCAGGAAGAAGGGAGCGTGGTAGCCGGTGGCCAATTGGATGACGTCCGTCACCAGCGCCGTGGCACAGAGCCCGAACACGTGGACCCCTGGGGACAGGGTGGCACGTCACTGCGGGTCACCCCTCTCCTCTGTCCCACATAGGGTGGTCAGGGCTCAACACCCCCCCCCCGGGCACCCACCGTGCGGTGCCGGCTCCTGCACAACATACCCACAAACCTTACGGTGCGGCGCAGGAAGGAGTTGAAGTTGCAACCGCCGGCGTTAATGCTGCCCTCGGCGCCGGCGCGGCCCTTCAGCCGCGACTGCAGGCAGTACACGATGCCCTCCCCAACCATGATCTGCGGGAGGGACCGGCAGCTCAGGGAGCGCTTGCCCCATGGGGAGCAGGGGTCTCCCCACACCAGGACCCCAAGCCCTAACCAGGCTCCATCCTCACACCCCCCCCCCCCCCCAACCCCGGGACGCACCGATGCAGCCGGCGCGGCGAAGGCCAGGCTGAGCAGCATGAGCAGTGGGATGAGCTCCTCGTTGGTCTCCACATAGGGCATGGAGAGCGCGCGGTCGTAGCACTGGAAGCCCACCTTGGCCGGCTTGAAGAGGTCGGTCAGCTCCAGGAAATAGAGCGTCACGATGGAGGAGGCCACGATGGGCAGCTGGAGCCGGCGGGGGGGGGGCAGAGTGTTGGGAACACCGCTCCGCCATGGCACGGTGCCCTGCCACAGGACCATGGCCTGGGGAAGGAGCCCCCCAGCCCATCCTCACCCACCTCCACGAAGTAGAAGCAGGGCAGGAGCGTCATGCTGTCCTTGGGAGCCCTGGTCTTCTCCTTGGCGGGGATCATGGTCCTGGGGTGGGAGCCGGGTGCTGCTTTGCTGTGGGGCCGCAGCCTCACCCCCAGTTCTCAGCCCTATGGGGGGTCCTGGCTCATCTGGATGCTGCTCACCAGGTACCGGTACCATGGGGCTGCACCGGGCAGGGGTATCCCCACTTCCCCCCCCCCCCCCCTTCTTCCCGGGGTTCCCCCCCAGCATCCCGGGGGTTCCGGCCGAGCCGGAGCTGTGACAACAGGTGGAGTGGAGGCTCTGCTATCGCGACAGGCAGCCGCGATTGTGACAGGCAGCGAGGCTGCTGCGGAGGGCGTGGGGAGGGGGGGGGGGTGAGCTGCCCATAGAGTAGAGCAGGGGATGGGGGTCCCCGCGCAGCCCGCGACCCCCGAAACTGCCCCTGACTGCGAAAGGGGTGGGGAGGGGATAACGGGGATGGAGCAACGGGGGGCAATAGCGGGGCGGAGCAATACTGGGGGCAATAACGGGGGGTATTAACGGGAGGTCATTGACGGGGGGGTGTTAACGGGGGGGGGGGGGGTGTTAACGGGGGGGGGGGTGATAACGGCGGGGCCGGGATGGGGGGGGCTCTCCCGGCCGTGCCGCAGCCGCAGGCGGGGGTCGGGCCGGGGATGGGGGGAGTCGGGGAGCGGCCCCTTTGTGCCCCGCGGTCCCCCCCCCCTTTAGACCCCTCCCACTCACCTGAGCTGCGGCCGGCGGGGGGGGGGGGGGGGGGGGGGGGGCTCGGGAGCTTGGGGGGCGGCGGCCGCGGGGCTCCGGGGCCGGGATGCTCCTGCCTCGGCGGAGCGCGGGGAGCGGCGGCTTCCTCCGCCCCCTCCTCCTCCTCCTCCTCCTCCTCCTCCCCCCCGCCCCGCCCCGCCGCTCCCGACCCCTCCCGGGGGTCGCGGGCGGGGGCTTCTGGGGGGGTCGGGGATGAGACAAAGGAAGGGGAAGGCGGGGCTGGGAGCAGCGAGCGGGACCGCCCCCCCCCCCCCCCCCCCCCCCGCTCCGCAGCCGGCACCGGGGGGGTCCCAGGCCCGCACCGAGGGTCCCGCCCCCCCCCCCCGAGCTGCTCCAGCCCCCGGCGCACAGCGGGGCTCTGCCGGCCGAGGCACCCCCGGTCCTCGAGGGCAAACCCGGTGAGGCCCCTGCGGCAGAGGAGCCGGTGCCGAGGCCAAGCCCCGGTTCCCCCCCGTCCCAAACTTGCGGTGGATCCCGGCCCAACCGAGCCCTGCCCGGTTGCAACCCTCCCCCCCCCCCCAGGCTCACGGCCCCATCTGGGCCCTGCACGGCCCCGCACAGCGGCACCGGGCGCCTTGTTCCATTTTTGGCCCTAAGTGGGCAGAAATCTCCCGTATTTAACGTCTAAATCCCGAATCCCTGGAAGCCGCGATTAAGCCGCTCTCCCTGCGGGAAATCCGCGCTTTGAGCCGGACTCTTCCACCGCGATGCTCCGGCCGCATGGACCGCCCCGTCCCGCCATGTGCTGGCCCGGCACCGGCAGGAGCAGGAGGGCCGAAGCCACCGGTGCACGGGGCCGGGGCCGGGTGATGGAGCGGGGGCTGCGGGCGGACAAAGGGGATTCTGAGCGGTAAAGGCTCAGGGTGCGTGAGGAGGAGGAGGATGACGGGGAGGCCGGGGGGGGGGGGGTCTCCATCCCTTTGCCCTCTTTCGGAGCACGGCAGAGCCCATGGGCACGGATGGGGCTGGATGGGCGGTGGGGGAGCATCCCGCTGAGGGGTCCCCAGCCCGCGGCGGAGGAGACCCGAGGCGCGGTGATGGGCTCCGGGAGCGAGCCCCGGGCGGTGGCGACGGGCGGGGAACGGAGCTCGGGAACGCGGAGGGACCGGGCGGGAGCCGAGGAGGTGGCTCCGCTTAGCGGCACCAGGGAGAAAGGCAAGAGGGGACGGGGGCTGCCACCGCCATCACCGCCTCCGCTGCCAGCGCCACCAGTGCCACCAGTGCCGCCACCAGTGCCACCAGTGCCACCACCACCCCCCAGCCCCGCAGGAGCTCCTCTCGGGGCAGGGTCTCCTCTAGGAACCCCCACCAGGTCCTGCTGGTCCCGACCCCGCTGTCCTCATCCTCACCAGCCCCAAGGGCAAACGCATCCATGGGGGGATGCTCGCCCCTGGGCACCCCCCCAGCACCCAGCGCCCATCCGGGTGCGGGTCCCTGCTCTGGGGGTGCGTGTGCCAGAACCTCCCCTTGCCAAGAGGCGGGTTTGGGCTCCGGCAGCGGGTGCCAGCGCTGGAGCGGGGCCGGGCGGTTTCCTTCCCCCCCCCGCCCCGCTGTTTGTGCCGGGAACTCCTGACCCTTTTCATAAGGGGAACATTTAACAACGCTGCGGAAACCCCCCCCCCCCGGCTCCCTCCGCGCTGCCCTTCCTGCCCCCCCCCCCCCCCCCCCCCCCCAAACCTCACCATAAAACCCAGCCCCGGCAAAGCCGAGCTGCGACCGCCCCACAGCACCCAGCACCCCACAGAGGCACCCCCCGGGCCCCACTGCAGCCATGGGGCTGAGCCCTGCACCCGTCCTGGTCCTCACTCTGCTGCTGGGGGGCACGGTGAATGGTGAGTGCATTACCCCCCCTGTACCGCGGGGCTCCCACTCAGCCCCCCAATTCCTGCCTCCGTCCGCATCCTGGACCACAGGGGGGGGGGGTCCGGGGTGACCCTGCCCCGTGCCCGCTGGCGATGCCGACCTAACCCGGCCTCTTCTGCTGCCACAGGGCAGCCCCGGGGACGGATCCTGGGGGGCTATGAGGCCAAGCCCCACCTGAGGCCGTACATGGCCTCGCTGCAGCTGGACGGGCAGCACGTCTGCGGGGGCTTCCTCATCGCCAAGCAGTGGGTGCTGAGCGCTGCCCACTGCACCGAGGAGACGTGAGTGCCAGGAGGGGGGGGGAGCTGCTCTGTGCTATGGGGAGGGGGGGGTGATGCTGGACTTGGGGCTCCATACCCCGTGTCGGAGCACCAGGGCTGGGCAGGGGCTGCAGCACATCCCACCCCCCACCCCTCCCAATTCCCTCTGCTGGGAATTCCCATTCCCACACGTTGGCTCTCTTCCAGGGATGGCAAAATGTTCCAGGTCCTCCTGGGCGCCCACTCGCTCACGGAGCCGGAGCCCCACAAGCGCCTGTACCGGGTTCGTGCCCAGATCCCTCACCCCGGCAGCAACATCCACAACAACAAGGACGATCTCCTCCTGCTGCAGGTGGGACCCCCCCTCTCCAGACACCCCCTGCCCCTCAGAACCACGGTGGGACAGTGCCCGGGGTAGGAGGAAACCCCCAAGGCCAGGCTGGGGCTGTTCAGTTCCGTGTCCATCCCTCCCCATCGCTGCATCCCCACCAAAGAGCTTCGGGCTGCATCCGAACGCCTTCCCTGCAGTGCTCATGACGGCAGCTCCGGTCCCTGGCTGCATCCCGGGATGGGGGCTGTGGGTGGAAGGTGAAGCCCTTGACCATGGCCCACACTGGGGTCCCCCCATTGACCCCCGGTCCCCGCGTTTGCTTTGCGGCAGCTGGAGGAGGAAGCGGAGCTCAACGCACACGTGCAGGTGCTGCCGGTGCAGCGGGAGGACCGGGACGTGGCTCCCGACACCGTGTGCGACGTGGCCGGTTGGGGCACCATCAACCACAGCGGCCGCCGGCCCGACAAGCTCTACCAGCTGGAGCGACCGGTGCTGAGCCGCGACGTCTGCAACCACCGCACCCGCCACGACCACACCATCACCGAGAAGATGATGTGCACCGACTCCCGCAGGAAGGACACCTGCAAGGTAGCTCCCACCCCGACCCATGGGCTTGGGGTACCCGGGGCTGCGTCCCCAGGGTGATGGGGAGCTCCTTGCCCTGGGCTCGTCACTGCAAAGCGGCTCTCGGGGGGGCTGGAGGCAGGGATGAGGCCATGGGCACAACCCAAGGGTGCTCAGTGATGGATCTGCCCCACTGTGTCCCTGCCGCGCCTCGGGTCGGGGGGAGCCCCGGGGTGGGTGATGGGCTGGGGCTCTTGGGGGACCCTCGACGGCGCTGATGAGCCCTGGTCCCACAGGGAGACTCCGGCGGCCCCTTGGTCTGCAATGGGGTGGCCGAGGGGGTGGTCACGGCGGGGTCCCGCGTCTGCGGCAACTACAAGAAGCCGGCGATCTACACCCGCATCGCGCCCTACGCTGCCTGGATCGACGGCGTCATCGCGGCTGCGGACCGGGATGGGGCCGCTCCCTGAGCCCGCGCCAGCCCCCGGCTCCACGCCACGGCCACGGCACCCACAGCACCCGCTCCAAGCACCGGATGCTCCTACCACTGCCCTGACCCACTCCTGGGCCATCCCCTGTGCCTGGGGACCAGCGTGAAGCCAGGGGATGGGGGTCCCCGGCCCCCCGCTTGCAAAGTGCAAGCCCAGCCGGGTTGCACAGGGGGGTCAGTGCCCCCTAACCCAGGCTGCATCAAGCCCCAGGCTTTGCTGCTGCAATAAAGTGATTCCTGCAGAGCTGCTGGGGGGGGGTGTCCTGTGTCCATAATAACCTGGCAGAGCTTGGAGCCATGAATTCCCCTTCCAATTGCACCCTTCCCAAGGGATGCACCGTGCCCAGGGCTCGGCGCTGTGCCACCAAAGTCACTTGAACCCCCCCCCAAAAGGCACCCAAACGTTCAGTACAAAAGGAAGGGGCCTTTTATTTACAAAGGAGCTGCTGGTTCAGCCAAAGCCAACCAGGGCTTTGCTCCAGGCACAGCACCCGGGTGCTTCCTGCAGGGAAGGGATGGCTCCCTTACAGCACAGGCAGCGGAGTCTCCCACAGGGGCAAGGCTTACTTGGGATGAAGGGATGGAGGAGTGCAGGGAAATGGGGAGTAACCCAAAGCACAGGAGGAACGGGAGGACCCAGCGTTTGCTCCCCTCTCCTTGGGGGCTCTGGTCCCCTCCAGCCACCGCGTTGTGCCCAGGCCAGGGCTTGCACTGGGACCTGCTGGGCCCAGACACCACCCTTCCCCAGGAAACCTCTGGCACTCATTCCCTTCTAGATATTCCTGGGAAAGAAGAGGGAAAAGGAGCTCCCTCCCCTCCTCTGTACATCAACACGAGAGCAGAAGCAGCAGCAGCGCGGTGCTGCCTGATACTGGCTCACTGGCAGCACCAGGATGCTGCTCCCCGAGCATCCCTTGCCCCAAACACGGCCGAGAAAGGAGGCCCAGAGCAGCTCCTCTGCTTGGTGCTGTGTCCCCCCCCCCCGGGCCCCACAGGTCAGGAGTAGCTGAGGGGCATCCTCCTCCACAGCCCCCCGCACAAGCAGTTCTTGATCCAGCGCTGCTCCCACTGCTTCACCGCCGTCACTTTGTTGGGTGACTTCAGCATCGTGACACAGCCACACCTGGAGAGAAACAGGGAGCTGGGCCCAGGGAAAGCAGCTGGTGCTGCTGGGGAGTCTATGGATCACAGAGGGAAGTGGAGGAGGAAACCAGTTTCTGTCATGTGCAGGTGACGTTTGTGAGCTCTGAAAACCAGCTGAAACCAAGCGAGCAATTATCTTAACTGAGGAGAGGTTATCTGGGAACAGGACCCGGCCCCCAGCTGCTATTTATACATGAAACAGCAGCCAGTCATCTTGTAAGGATGATCTGCTGCAGAGCCTTGCCATTAAAACCAGTAATTAAAGCTAATTCAATCACATGATTTGATGGATGTCTGCTCCCCGCATTACTTTTGACATCCAGGCTCTCTCGGGAGGGTGGATGAAGAGGAGAGCACAAAGGGACTTAAAGTTGCAAGCCCAGCTTGGAAGGCAACCAGGGATGCTGATTGTTTCCTTGCACCAGCTCCTCCCCAAGAACAGCAGCAGTTTGCTTTAAAGGCCAGACCTGCAAAGGGAGCTGGGGATCATCCATCACTCATCGGGACTCTATGGGCCAAACTCTGCTCAGATGGGATCAACGTGAGGTGCTACTGGGATAGCAGTGAGGATGGTAAAGAGAGACAGCTTCAGAGCGACACAGAGCAGGCGGAGGTGGTGCCAGGGCTGCTGCAGGGGGGTCACACCACATCACTCACCGGGTGCAGGACTTGCACTCCTCTGTTGGGTAGGCTCCCAAGTGCAGCCGCCGGAGGTGGTCGATTTTAGGCTGTCCAGGGGCCCTGGGTAGGAAGAAGAATGGGAATGTTTCTACAGCATCCCCTCCTGAAAGCTGCGACAGGACAGGGAGCTGCGTTTCAGCGGCCACCAGGCTTCGGCCACCTCGTCCATCGAGTGCCATGGGGTTGGAGGCCGTGCTGACATGAACTGAACCACAAAGCAGCCCTTTCCCCCCTCCGTTTTGATCTCTTTTCAACACTTTAAATCGCCAGCCTGCTGCAAGTTAAGAAATGAACTCAAGCAGAGAGGACAGACTGCTCTTGGGCCCCACGAGCAAGAGGCCAAACCAAGACACAGAGGTGTCCTACACCCAATGACCTCTCAGAACCACCAAGATCCATCCCAAAGCCTCCCCCTGCACCCTCTTGCCACCACCCCAGCCACTGGCCTCAGGTGTCTGTACCTGACAAAGGCATCGAACTGGGAGGAGACGGTGTGCCCGACGAGGCCGGGGGCTTTCCCAAACTGCAGCCGGACGAGCTGCTTGTTCTGCAGCTTGCTGATGATGCCGTCGTTGATGGGCAGCCAGTCGATGTTGGGGATGAGCAGCTGGCTGGGCAGCAGGCAGCATTCGTCTACGAGGGTATCGTCGGGCTCCGTGATGTGATTTTCCTCACGACCTGCATGGGAAATAAAGCGAAGAGAGGAGAGAACCGGCGTGATCTTGACACTTCTCATTTAGAGATCAAGAGAACCGCGTGCGGTTTCCTCCTCCATCCGCCAACACAGCCCAGGAAACAAAGAGCCTGGCAGCTGTACTTGCCCTTTCTAAACGCTCAGTAACTCTCAAGTTACTCCCTGCAATTATTCCTTCCACACACAAGCCACATGAGGGAAGGGTTCTTTTGTTCGGGAACGCTGGTAAACACTTACAGCACAGCCAGAGCTTCGTCAGGAGCCTGAAGAGGAGGGACATGCTGTCCTGCGTGTCGGAGGTCGCTGTGTAGACAGGGAGGCAGCTTGGCTTCAGCAGTCCCCAGATGCGGATCACCACCATCAGCTCCCTGAACATGCCCAGGGATGCTCCGTCCCGCAGGAAGCTGTGCCCTGGCCGCACAGGGGAGCCCTGCGAAGGGGAAAGCAGCAAGGCTGGGGTTTGAATGCTGCCCAAGCACTGCATGCAGCCCCCTCCGGCTGCCCCGGGGCTGCTCTCACCTGGTTAGGAAGGCTGGCCAGCAGGTAGAGCACAAAATCTCCCACCCACTGGATGAGCTGCTGCAGGGACTGCAGGGTGTTCATCTCCAGGACAAACTCCTCTGTCTTCAGGTTAATCATCACCTTGTCAATGTCTGAAACAGAAAGAAGACGTCTCCTGGCTCAGGGGAAAGGAAAGATGGATCCAAACTGCACTCCCTGCCCCTGCAGTGCCAAGAGAGGTCACCCCCCTCTCCCTCAAAGGCAGGGAACCCATCCCGAACCTGAAAGAGGAACGATCCAACACAAACCACCCGGTGGCCAGAGCAATCCCTACCTATATCCGTGATCTTGGAGCAGATTTCGGTGAGCCGGTCCCCAGGGCTCTTGTCCGGGGTGTTGAGGACGTGCGGGCGCAGGAGCGACTTCAAGGTGCAGCTGATGGCGATGAGGAAGAGCTTGGCGTGGTAGTCACACACCCGGGCGATGGTGCTGGAGGAGAGCTTGCAGAGAGAGGCCTTCATGGCCACGATGCGGGTGGAGAGGACCTGATCGACCCCGAGGACACGAGGGGATTGCAGGAGGGAAGGCAGAATGCCAATCAGCTCTTTAAAGCTTTAATTCACCGCTCTCTGCGGTGCCCACGAGGGACAGGAATAGGGAGCACTGTTCTGGGCGTGTATGAACAGCGCTTCTGTTCCCAGATCTCTGCCAGAAATAGGCTTCACCATCTCCCCTGAAGGTTCCACCAGGTAGAGACCCACTGATGTTAGTGAAAAGGACGTGAAAAGGACATGGGACTGCTGGAGCAAGTCCAGAGGAGGCCATGAGGATGCTCAGGGGCTGGAGCACCTCCTGTATGGAGCCAGGCTGAGAACATTGGGGCTGTTCAGCCTGGAGAAGAGAAGCTGCGTGGAGACCTCAGGGCAGCTTCCAGTGTCTGAAGGGGGCCTATAGGGATGCTGGGGAGGGGCTCTTCATTAGGGACTGCAGTGACAGGACAAGGGGTAACGGGTTAAAACTTAAACAGGGGAAGTTTAGATTGGATATAAGGAGGAAATTCTTTCCTGTGAGGGTGGTGAGGCACTGGAATGGGTTGCCCAGGGAGGTTGTGAATGCTCCATCCCTGGCAGTGTTCAAGTCCAGGCTGGACAGAGCCTTGGGTGCCCTGGTTTAGTGTGAGGTGTCCCTGCCCATGGCAGGGGGGTTGGAACTGGATGATCTTAAGGTCCTTTCCAACCCAAACCATTCCATGATTCTATGGTTAAAAGGAACAGGCTTAAGCAGGGGCTCTTCCCACCTCGAGTGCTGCTCGAGCATTGAGGGACAGCACAGCCAGGCAGTTGGAGTGTGAGTCCTGTGAGCACTGGCAACTCCTGCTCCCTCCTCTCAGCCCCAGAGCCCCGTCCTTGTGCCCACCCTCTGCAGTGAGCTCCTGACCTGCTGCAGGGCCGCGTTCTGGCGCATGTACTCTTCATGCAGCTTCTCCACCAGGTTCTGGACCATGTTGGGCTGGACGTGGAGCAGGATGTCCCACCAGTCGTAGCCAGTCACCATGCAATACTCCAGCAGGAACAGCAGGTGACGGAGGGACATGTTCATGTCCAGCACGTGGCCCATGGAGGGTGAGATGCGAAGCATGCTCAGCTGAAGGGAGGAGGCAAAGGAAAACCTGCATCAGGAACTGGCTTGGAAATACTCCATGAAGCTACAAGGCAACACAAGGCTCATTCCTGGTCCAAGGGCAGAATTCCTTCAGCAGTGGATACCTCCCATCTCGTTTCACAGCTGTCAATCACACTCCAAGCATTCTTCTGAGTGATCCCATCACCACTTAGGGGCAGCCTGGATGAGAACATCTCACTCCCCCCCTAATAGAGCACAATACCTTCCCGTGACTATCAATGCCAGCCAAGGCCAGGGACGTCCAGGAGAGCTGCATGGCTTTGAAGTGAACCAGGGGTCCAGCAGTTCGCTGCCTCTTGATGGCCTGCTCGTCCACGGGGCGCTGGGAGGAGGACCCATAGAAGACAGCCATCATTTGCAAGGACAGGCGGTGCACAATGTGCACGCTGCCATCGTGAAAAGCCAAAGCCAAGCCTGGGGAGAGAAGACAAACCAAGGCTGGGCTAGTGACTCCTCCGGGATAACCCAGACCTGGCCCAGAGAAGGGGGCTCACAGCACCCAAAAGGCTGTAGGTTCCCAGCCCACTTTGTCTCTTGAGGTCACATTTCCACAGAGAAACACCTCTTTCCATGGAAACCAAACGGGATGGTGAGGAAGATACCACGTCTTGGGCAGTTTTCCCATCAGCATTCCGCATGGTTTGTTCCACGTTCTTATTTCAGCAAATTAAGAAGGCAAAGTTTCAGGCAAAAGCTACTTATTTAGTACTTATTAACCCCCTTACCCAATCCAGGGAAGAACTTGGTGTCGTTGGCCACCTTCAGGTCAGTGTTGGTCAGGGAGATGGGCAGCTTCGGCAGAGCCACAGCCGAGACGCGGTCCAGGTCATTGGTGGCAGAGAGGATCCGCCACTTGAGGATCATGGGCTGCTTGTCTCCAACTTTGAGAAGCGAGTAAGCAAGTGAGACACCTCTACATGAGGAGATCAGAACATCCCCTCCTACTGCTGCCCACCCTCCTCGACTCAGAGGGGTTCCACATTACATTGAGTGTTTGCTCTTTACACCAGGGCGGTGGGAGGACAGAACACACAGAATGCCTTGGATCGAGTTAAAGGAACAAATCCCCTCCTGGAAACCAGCAAGCTGGTTCCTAAGGGGCAAAGAGATGGACTGAGACCCCCTGTAAAACAAACATGGCCTTCTGGATGGTCCCCTGGGTGTGATAATGGAGCTGAGAACCTGCCTTCCATTTCCACTGAGACCACACTCCCGTTCTTAAGAGTACCTGGTGCAGAGACTCACCCACAGGAGAGATTTGCTGGAAGATGTTGTTGACTGGCAAGCCCTCCTTCCTCAGAGACCAGCACTCCACGATGCTGCTGTTCTGGTTGGAAGCACAAAGCAGCACCTGCCAAACAGAAACCCATCTTGCAGCCACACGCGGAGACTGCACAACGGGGCAAGCTGCCCTCCTGTCCCACCTCCCCGCTCTCGTTCGAGGCTCCTCTTCCCAAGTAGTTTATAATCCCTATGGAGAGAGGCTGCTTTGAGGCTGAGACCTCTCTGTGTAACTCCTGCTTGCTCTAAGTGCAGATGCTCACCTGCTCCGACATGTCCCGAGCGAGGAACTTGAGGTGAGTGATGGCCGGGTACTTGTCCTTGCGGGCAGGGTCCGTGGTGCAGCGCATGAAGAGGGAAGGCAGGATCTCGGTGTCTATCTTGCACTTCTCATTCACCACGCTGACACAGACCTTGTAGAACTGCACCGGGGAGGTGCTGCTGCCATCCGAGGTGGCCACCACGATGTTCCCCCCTCCGGTGAAGGCCACGTCGGCCAAGGCCACGCGGCAGCGGAGCCGGCACAGGCTCTCTGTGGACGTCAGCACTTGGCCGTTGGGCTTGAGGAGGGACACGGTCACCAGCCCGCTGATGGTCACTGCGATCCAGCCCTCCATGGGCTTCCCCCCAAAGAGCGTCAGCGATGGGGAGAACTTGACCCTGGAGAACTTCTCACCAAAGTTGGATGCTCCAGACTGGGAATAAAAGGCAAGAACACAACGATGTTTGCACCCCAGGTGGAGCTGAACCGGGTCGGACACGGGCACCAGCTCTGCAATGGGACTAAGGAGAGGGAAAAGCTCCTCTCTGTGGGACACACAAAGAGTTCAGGTGTAAGAACCCATCAGTAGGCGACTTCTTGGCAGCCCTGCTCCTTTTGAGCCTGGCATAATTAGGGTTCTCTACACGCTGCTTTTCTCCGTGCACACACAGAGCTCCCATTCCCAAACACCCAGATCAAGCCTCAGGACCTCAAAAGGGTTTCTTCTGGTAGGCAAAGAAATTCTTTGATCTCCATTTAACACCGAGGAAACCGAAGCACCAGACTGAGGACGATGCTTTTAAAGCACCAAGAGAAACAAGGCATCCAACCCCCCTGAACCCCCCCCAGGAACCTGGGACCTGACTGCTCTTTGTGGCTGGAAAAACTCCCCTCTGCGACATGCCCAAGGCCACGGAGGAAGCCCGGAGCAGCAGGAGCAGAGGTTTCCAAGACCCGAGCCAGCCTTCCTGCCCGCATGCCCTGCAGAGCTGGGACAAACCTTTTCCACGTGCAGAGCCAGCTTCACGCCGTTGTGCAGCCAGGACAGGGCCACCACCGGGTCCCCTTCCACCATGCTGCCCACCGTGTTCTCCCAGCTGTTGGCCAAGTGATCCGTCATGCTCCAGCACTTGATGTGCCCATCTGCGTCTGCAGAGAGCAGCCTGGAGCCTGCAGTGAGGAGAACCAGGGGGTAAGGGCAAGAAATCAACGCAGAATGAAGAAATCAAAGCACCCCAGTGGGGTTTGGAGGGAGATGGCCAGTTCGTGGCTGTGAAGTGATGGAGAAACTCATTCTCCATGAGGAATCGTGTCCTGTGAATGGTGGGACGCAGGGATAAGGTCCAAGCTCACCCGACTGATCCCACTCCAGACAAGTGATGACTTCAGCGTGGCCAGAGTTAACGGAGTAGACGTCCCATGGGTGCTCGGTGTCGATGATGTGGACCATGTGGGTGAGATCTACACAGGAGCAGAAGGAAACCACTCGTGAGCAGCCACCGGCTGCCCCGGTGAGGCTGCAGAGCCAGCGGCTGACACAGGGGAAGCCACTGAATGACTGCTATGGTGATGGGTCTGCCCTGAGCCCTGCTGTGCTGGGAAGGAGCCAGGCTGGGAGAGCTGGGCTGGGGCAGCCTGGAGAAGAGAAGGCTCCTGAAGGGGAGACCTGAGAGCAGCTCCAGGGCCTGAAGGGAACCTGGAGAGGGGCTTGGGACAAGGGATGTAGGGACAGGCCAAGGGGAATGGCTTGAACCTGCCAGAGGGGAGACTGAGATGAGCTCTTAGGCAGAAGCTCTTCCCTGTGAGGGTGCTGAGGCGCTGGCACAGGGTGCCCAGAGAAGCTGTGGCTGCCCCATCCCTGGCAGTGTTCAAGGGCAGGTTGGACACAGGGGCTTGGAGCAAGCTGCTCCAGTGGCAGGGGTCCTCATGGCAGGGGATTGGAACTGGATGCGATTTAAGGTCCCTTCATCCCAACCCATCCCATGACTCCATAAACCTAAGGAATGGGGGGGGGGGGGGGGGTAAGACCCGCACGAACCCCCCGCACCTTTCTCCTCCTCATTCTTGAGGTCCGTGGTGAAGGCGATGAGGTTGCGGCAGGACCAGGCGCACACCAGCGGCACGGACGGGCAATGGTTGCTCTTGGGCCTCTTCTCCCACTCGCACACGTACGCCAGGTCCATGGCACCGGCACCGGCACCGGTACCGGGGACGCGATGCCTCGGAGGCCCCCGCCCCGCCGGGCTGCCCGCCCCCCGCGCCTGCGCCACCCCGCCCCGCGCTGTCAGGCACCGCGGCGGGCAGCCCGGCCTGGAGGCCCTCAACGCCGCGGTGGGGAGGGGACCGGTGGCAATGTCATTTGCAAGCTGCCAACCCAGAACGCACCGCGGCGGCGGCCGCAAAAATAACGGAGAGATTTAGGCGATTTTGGTGAAAAAAAGAAGTGTTCAAACACCCTGCGAGGCGTGTCGGAACGGGGGAATACACAGGAAGGCCCATAATGCAGTTAGCTCGGAATCACCCTTTCCTGTTAATATTTGGATTCGAGGGGTTTAAATACCGCTGTGGTGAGTTTGGGCTGCGTGCTCGCTTCGGCAGCACATATACTAAAATTGGAACGATACAGAGAAGATTAGCATGGCCCCTGCGCAAGGATGACACGCAAATTCGTGAAGCGTTCCATATTTTGCTCCTTTTCTGCGCTGCTTTTGGACACGGGGCACACGAGAGGAGCCCAGGGGTCCCCTCTGCCAAGTGGGGGCACGGCCACGGACACCTCCTCTATGGGTGCTGCTGTGAGGGGCAGGGATTTTGCTCCCTGCAGCTGCCCCACAGGAGGGTGCAGGGATTTCTGCTCCAAAGGAGTAAGAGGAACCGGCCTCAAGCTGCACCAGGGCAGGTTTAGATGGAGCTCAGGCACAATTCCTGCCCCAGAGGGTGCTCAGGCATTGGAACAGGCTGCCCAGGGCTGCAGGCACCAGCCCTACAACCGCTCACCCTCAGTGCCATGGGTCAGTGGCAGCGCTGGGATCGGTTGGATTGGAAGAGCTTCAAGCTCGTTTCCAACTTGATTGATGCCGTGGTTCTCCGAGATCTCACATATGGGGCTTCTCAGCCACCCTGCCTCCCCATAAGCACCCTTTACACCCCCCTCAGGGACACCCCTACCCCGCATCCCCCCCACCCCAAGCAGCACGCACACAAATACACTGCACACAATAAAAAACACGGCTATATTACACTTAAAAACAGCGGCGCAGGGAACACGGCGCTGCCCAAACACCCACGGGGCGAGAAGCACCCTGCCCTGGGGGGTGGTGGTGGTGATGGAGCACCCCACATCACCCCACCGCAGGCACAGGGCTGCGGGCGCTGGACAAACCACGCCGGGAACGCGACAGCCCCGAGGCTCTTCCGCTGGCTCAGCAGCCGCCAGGAGCTGGTTCACCACGGAGGAATCTGGCCCGAAATCACCCCACGAGGTGGGGTCTGGCCCAGCCCCAGCATCGCTCGAAGCGCCTGGGCCATCAATAGACACACAAAACACATCCCCGGTGCCGGATCCATGCGGGATCTCCACAGAGCAGGGAGAGGGATGAGCCCCTCAGGAGGGCATCAACAGGGAGAGAAGGGATGAAGGAAGACGTCGGCGTGCCAAAGCGAGGGGCTGGGGGTCCCTTGGGGGCGGGTATCAGCTCATCTGCCCCAGGTAGTCTGAGAGCAGGAGCTCGGGGGGCAGGAAGATGCGGTGTTTGTTGCTCACTTTCATCTGACGCTTCCCTTCGATGTCCGAACCTGGGATGAGGGGGGGAAAAGGGAGCTGTTTATCCCACCCCTTCCCCTCGGGGATCCCATCTGCGGCATTCCCAGCTCCTTCCATCCCCAGCCCCTTCCATGGACCCCTGTCTGCACCATGGGCTCCATCATTAGCACTCTCACACTGTTTTCCATGAGCAGCTACTAATTAAATGCTCCAGGGATGGAGCCCGGTGCCTCTCCCCCCCCCAGCCTTGCTTTGGCAACAAGACCTTTGAGGGATGCCCATGGCTGCTCCCTATGGGAAGAGAAGAGGGAGCCCCACAAGCAACCTCGTGCTTTGGGCTGCTGGGCTTCAGTGGTGGGAGCACGGGGTTATCTGTGAGCTGCAGCTCAAGGTGGGGCCGGGAGGAGGAGGGAGGAAGAGGCTGAGCTGCAGAGGGGAGATAGCGAGGAAGGGAAGGGAAAAACAAAAACAAAGCCCCAAAACCAAGCCCCCAAAACCCCACGTGAGCAAAGGCGAGGCTCCTACTGGCAGAGACGAGGTCCATGTACTGGCAGAGAGCGTGGAGCAGGAGCCGCTCGAAGCTGGGGGAGATGGGGGACAGGGTTAGAACCAGCATGGCCCAAACCAGCATCGCCCGGGGCTTGGATCCCATGGATCCGAGATGGGGAGCACAAAGTGCCCTGGGGTGAGCCCCTGCAGAGCCCGAGCTGGGCAAGTACCTGTTGTCCATCAGGGCTGTGTAGACGGAGTGAGGGGTGACGGAGAAGAAGGCCAGCAGCTCCTCCTCCAGCCCCTCCAGCGTGCCCTGTGGGCAGAGGTGTCAGTGAGGGGAGAGCAGCAGCGATGGAGCCTCCGATTCCCGAGGGATTGAGGCCAGCAGCTCCAAGGAGAGCCCCTGGCTGTGAGGCAGCAGGAAGGAGCAGGGAAAGGAGACATCTCCCTGCTCCATCCCCTGGGGCAGGGAAGGATCCAGCTCCTGCCAACCCCGTACATCGCGTGCCAAGGGGCTGGCACCTTCCCCATGCTCAGAGCGGCAGCAGCCAGCCCGACCTCGTGCCCACGGCTCCTTTCCTCCCAAGAGCCAAAGCTCAGCTCAATGCAGGTCCCCGGAGCACCACGACCCCAGAGAGCAGCAGCACCGAGTCTCATTTGAGAGCAAAGGGAGCAGAAGCCAGCGGGCAGGAGGAGCTGGGGCTGCTCTCAGTGCAAAGCAAACGGAGCAGAACATCAGCACCGGGGCTCCGGGCAGGCAGAGCAGGCTCCCAGGGCTTCCCTCCCCATCCAGGCTTCACTGCGGGCCCCCTTTGCGAACACATCTGGGTATTCCCAACTAGCCCGTGTGGAGCGCTCCAAGGCTCCCCTGGGGATGAACACCCCCATCGCCCGCTGCCCATGGGAACAGCCCCAGCAAAAGAGCTTTTAACGCCAGAACCCTCCAAAGCAAGCCCAGATATGCGCCGTGCCGGCAGCGTTCCCACCCCGGCATTCCCAGAGCTCCCGGCTCACCATGGGGATGCGGCCCCGCTTCAGGGTGGCGCGCAGGCGGCGGCTGATGCGCTGGAAGCACTCCTGGGGCGAGTAGGACGCGTGCTCTGGGGCCGGCGGAGGGAACACGGAAAGGGCTTGGACACAGCGCCCAGCCCTGGTACCCGCATGGAATCACCACTGAGCCCAACTCCCTTCCCCGTTGCACCCCGGCCCTTGGGGGTCTGCACGAGGTCACCCCCAGAGCAGCAGCAGCGGCAGCCCCCCTGCACTGAGGGAGGCTGCAGGCATCACCCCAATGCTCCCGACTCCCTCCCCAGGCCCATGTGGGAACTGTCAGGAATAACCCCCCCGTTATGATGAAGTTGAGGTCCCTCATTCACCGCCCCACCAGGATGCAGCCCTCGGGAAAGAGCCCTTCCCCAAAAGCAAGCAAGGAGGAAAGGGAGAGGCTCTCCCCACCCAGCGTCCCCTCCCAGCACCTTTCCACTTGTCTTCACTCTTGACAGGCAGCTTCCTCCTGTGCTTCTTCCTGGCCTCCTCCTCCAGGTAGAGCAGGACTCGCTCCTGCTCTTCTCCCGACCGGTTCATGAAGTCGTTCCAGATCTGACAACACAGGGCACCGGGCTGCAGAGTTGGCCGGGGAGCCCCCTCCTCACCCCACATCCCCACACCTCCCTCCCCATCTCCTCATCGTCCATCCCAGGGCGGAAAAGCCGCTCTGGGAGAGGATGCAGGTGGCTCCGCAGGCGATGACCCGGTACCGGTCCCTGCAGGTCCCATGGGCACAGCCCTCAGGATGGACACCACAGACAAGGTCACCACCGTGGCCATGCCCGCACCTACCTCCACGTAGGTCTCATTGTTACAGGCCTCGGTGAAGATGCTCGGGGCAGCGGAGTGGATGGGTTCCCCTTCCTCGCTCCCGCATCCATCCTGCTCCAGAAGCGTCATCAGGTAACGGGCTGTGGGGAAGAGCAAAGCCCCCGAGAGAGGAGGCAGTGCCTTCAGCGAGGCCCCCGGCAGAGGGGTTTTGGGGGGCACAACCCCCTCGCAGGGAGCCGGTACCGGGTCCTTACTGTTCTCCAGCCTCTGCAGGCTCTTGCGCCCCTTGGCCCTGGGGGTGAGGTCCGAGTTGCGGATGGCCTTGTTGATGTAATACTGCTTCCTCTTGGAAGGGGAGAACCTCTTGGATGGCGAATCCTCCAGCGGGGGCAAGCAGTCCTCGATCCTCCTGTGGCGACACAGGGGAGAAGGGACTGAGCCCACCCTGAGACCCACTGGGGCAGCCGCAGCATTGCAAACCCAAGGAGAGCCCACAGCAGCAGAGCGTCAGCAGCAGGCACCCCATCCTCCCCCTAACCCTGCACCCCTCCGCTCCCTGCTGACGGCAGCGTTGTGCGGCTCAACCACGGCTGGCTCCAAGGCCTGCTTAAAGCAGCCACGCGCTCCAGGTAACGAATCCCACCGGCACACGGGGCGAAACGAGAGGGGTCAATCCCACAGGGGGGACCCCGCCGCACCTCACGCTCGCCATCACCCAGCCAGAGCCACCGGAGCCGTCCTGCCCTTGGCAACGGCAGCGGCTCCTATCTCCGGTTATCGAGGCAGCGCTCGCCCTGGCCATGTCATCACCGGCTGGGCCGGCGCTTCCCTCCACACCGGTACTGCTCCCCACGGCTCCCGGCACGGGCTGGTGGTGCTGGTTCTGCCGGGTACCCCCAAAGGCGGTTCATGAGTAACTCTATGGTCACGGTGCCATTTGGCCACGCGCATGGTTTAGGGATGACCGTCGAACTGGAGATGATTTCATGGGATGAGCAAGAAGCTGAGCTCAATGCAACAGCTCGGGTCTCAAAGTTCACCAAGGCAGGAAGCGGCACTGCCTCCTGGCTCGTTCTTTACCCATCAGCTCTGCACTGCAGCTTCCCCTTGGGTTTGTGTGGGTTTCCTTTAGCGCAGCAGAAGGGGGGGGCGGGCGAGAAAACCCACACCCCCAGACCAAAACACCCCACACAGGAGCGGCACCCACGTCCTCCCCTGCCCCTGCCATGGAGCTGTGCCCACCCTGTCACAGAATCCCAGCCTGGTTTGGGTTGGAAGGGACCTTAAAGCTCCTCCAGCTCCAACCCCTGCCACGGGCAGGGACCCCTTCCACTGGAGCAGCTTGCTCCAAGCCCCTGTGTCCAACCTGCCCTTGAACACTGCCAGGGATGGGGCAGCCACAGCTTCTCTGGGCACCCTGTGCCAGCGCCTCAGCACCCTCACAGGGAAGAGCTTCTGCCTAAGAGCTCATCTCAGTCTCCCCTCTGGCAGGTTCAAGCCATTCCCCTTGGCCTGTCCCTACATCCCTTGTCCCAAGCCCCTCTCCAGGTTTCCTGCAGCCCCTTCAGGCACTGGAGCTGCTCTCAGGTCTCCCCTTCAGGAGCCTTCTCTTCTCCAGGCTGCCCCAGCCCAGCTCTCCCAGCACCGTGGGGCTCAGGGCAGACCCGTCCCGCAATCAGGTGCTGGCACAGCACAGGCTGCTCCAGCCGATTACAAGCTCCAGCCCGGGACAGCCGCCAGCCACCTGCCCATGCCAAAACCTTGATTTCCCCCCCACCATTGCCCTGAACTGAAGCCTCTGCGGGGGGGGGGAGAACCAACAATCTCCCCCCTTCCAGTGGAAACAGCGGCAGAGAGGTGGCTTTGGAATACATAAAAGGGCTATTGCAGGCGGGTGGGGAGCGGTAACCCCAGGCCAGGTTGAGGTTTGCTAGAGAGGCGATTAAAAGCAGTAATAAATGGAGGGTGTCACCTTCCACCAGCATGGGTTTGAGCACACAGAGCTCAGCACCACCAGCTCGGCCCTGGGGCAGCAGGAAAAGCCCTTCAAGGAGAAGGGTCCAAGGCACGGAGTGGGAAACACTGACCCTGCTTTCATAGGCAGGGGAGCCCTCACCCAGGGCAGCGGGCGGAGGAAGAGGAGGGCTCAACCTCCGGGCTCTGCTGGCAGGAACAAAGGGGTGAGTGATGGGTGAGTGCCGCCAGGGTGGGAGCATCCCCGGCCCCCCATAGGGACCCCTCGGTCCCTCTTTGAGCCTCAAGCCTCAGTGCAGGCTCAGCCTCAGCTCCTCGAAGCCTCCGGGGCACCAATCCCGGGCACCCTGCGCTGCCACGTCCCGTTTGGCACCGACACAGCCGCAGGAGTCAGTGCTGGCACCGGGCTCGGACGAGCTCCACGTCCATGGTGCCAACATCACGGGGACCCCTTCCCGTAGCAGCTCGCAGTAAAACCCCGACCCCCGGGAGCCGGCTCCACACGGAGCTGAGCGGCTTTTCCTCCATCTGCTCTTTGCCAAGCAAGAAAGAAGCCGTCCCCGCTCCCGACCGGAGGGGTTTTAACCAGATCCCGTTGGTTATCGTGCAGCGAATGGACACGGCACCCACCGGCGCCCACACAGACAGCGCTGCCAGGCGGGAATGCTGCTCGGAGCTGGCAAAACCCCGGTCCCGGTGTCCCCAGGGAGCGCCCGTGACCTTCACGGGGTAAACATTCATTACCCCATTACCCTAATCACGGCCTCCGGCCACTGACACCGTCCGGGCCGACGGCGCAGAACCTCTCCCGGCTCGGTGCAGCCGCCGCCGATCCCCCCCAGCCGCAGACGGACCGGAGCCGGGAGGAGAAAGCGGGACGGAGCCGCGACCGCACCGACAGCCCAAAGGATGGAGACCGGGCCGGGCCCCCGGCAGCCCCTCGCCCCGGCAGCCCCCGCCGCCGCCCCGCACTCACGGGTAGGGCTCCTCGGGGCCCGCACCGCCGCGCAGCACCACCATGGCCCGGTACCGGCACCGGGGCGCTCCCGCAGGAAGTGGCGTCAGAAGGGCGGGACTCCTCGTGGTCCCACCCCCGGGGTGCCGCGGGGGGCGGAACCGGGTCCCGGTGGTTGGGAGGGGGGGGAACCCCCAGAAACGGGGCTCGGTGGTGACGGAACCCCGGGGACGCGGCCCCTTTAAATCCACTCCGCTGCCTCGGGGCTCTTAAAGGGGCCGCGCCCTTCAAGGCGGCGGCGCTGCCCCTCCCGGCCGCTAGGCGGCGCTGCGGCCGCGCTCCCCGCGCGGTATTTGCATGCGGCAGCCGCAGCGGACCAATGGGGAGGCGGGGCGGGGCGCGGAGGGCGCCGTGGGCCAATGGCAGCGCGGGGCGGGGCGGGGCCGGGCACCGCCCCCTGCCCGCGGGGAGAGCAGCCGCCGAGCGGGCAGCGATCGCGCCCCGGCCCCGCCGCAGCCCGAGCCCCGGGCGGCCGCCGCTGCTATGCGGCTTCGCGGCGCTCGGCCTCCACCGGGTAAGCGGGGAACCCCCCCCCCCGGCCCTGCGACCGGCACCGGGACCTCCCCCGGGACCTCCCCCGCTGGCCGGTACCGGCGATCGGGGGCTCCCCGCCGCGCTCGGGGGCTGGGCGGGACCGGGGACTGGCCGCGTCCCTTGGGTGGGCTGGGACCCCCGCGGCCGGTTGCAGGGCGGGACCGGGGCTCCCCTTCTCCCTTTTATGGCCGGTTACCGGACGCTTCCCCCGCGCGGGGCCCGGGGCTCCGGCTCCCTCCCCCGCGGCCGCTCCCGGCGCGGCCCCTCCGTCCCCTGCGGGCGTTACTGTCCCGGCCGGTTAGAGCCCCCCGCGCCCCGCCCCGCCCCGCCCCGCCCGGGGACACGGGACGGAGCCGCCGCCGCCGCCCTGTACCCGCGCCCGGGGCGTCCCGAGGCACCGACCGGAGGAGGCGGCCGGGACCGGGTGGGAGCCGCTGGTTCATCCCGGCCTGGGGGGGGGCCGCTTCCCCCCCACCCCCCCCCGCTGCTGGCGGGGGCCGCCGGTGCCACGTGCCCCGGGGCCGGGCTCAGCCCTGGGGACGAACCCCCCCCGCGGCCCCCCTTATCTCCGTCTGTCCCCAGGGACCGGCAACCCCCGGGTCCGTCCTCGCTTCATGCCCCGCGGTGGCGTGAGCTCCCCCCCCCCCCCCACCGGAGAGCCGGGGGTGTCCGTCCGCGGCCGGGCCCGGTGCCGGTGGCACAAAGGCCCCGTCGCTCCCACCCCGCCCGTGCCGGGTATTTTTAGCCCGGTGCAGCCGCTGTCGCTGCCGAGCACCTGCCCCCGCGGGGACGCCCCAAATCCGCCCCCCCCCCCCCCCCCCCCCCGCAGCCGGGAGGCACCGAGCGGCCAGGAGGGGACAAAGGGGCACGGCTCAAGGTCACCGCGGGCCGGGGTGCCACGGTCCTCTGGGCTTGGAGTCACCGCGGGGGCCACGCTCGGGCTCCGGTCCCTTGCGGGGATGTGGCAGCGGGGGCAAGGCCGGGGCTGGAGGCTGCAGCTCCGCACCCGGCTCCCGGCAGCGCCGGTGCTGGCACTGAGTGATTTGGTGACTCGCCAGAGGAGCACGTGCCTGGGACGAGTCTCGCTCTGGTTCTGCTCGTGGCACTCGCCGGTGCAGGGGACGGAGTCGAGCCCTTGGCACAGGACGCGGCCGGACGCTGCTGCGGTGCGGAGCATGGAGGGACCCAGTCCCCTGCCCCGATGCCTCCCGCACCATGGGGATGGCTGCGGTAGAGGAGGGGAAACTGAGGCAGCAGCGCGGGCTCCCCGTGGCGGCAGCGGCCGAGCAGAGCGCGGCGGGGCTGCGAGCGGATGCGGCGGCGGCGGCTGCAGAGAGGCGCGGGTGAAGCGACCGCGCTGGAAATGGGTTCCCCTTTCCAGAAGTCGCTGCCGCCTTCTCCGGCACCGCCGGGGCAGCACTGCCCGTGCGTGGCACCGCCACGGCCGTGAGCTCCCTCCTTGCCTTTGGCATGGGCTCTGGTTGTGCTGGGTGAGGGCGTGCTGTGCTGGTTCCTCCAGTGCGCGCCGGCGGGGTGAAAAAGAGTTGAGGCACCCACAGCCCTGCATCACCCTGGGGATCCCACATGGGTTCCCCCTACACTTTGGGACTGTTCTGGTGTCCCCACGTGCGGAGCTGCCCTGTCCCCCATGGGCGACCCACGGTGCGGCTCTGCCCTCCCAGCGGGTCTGTTATCTGCGTGCGCTGGTCCCCCCCGTATCCCGGTATCCGCTGCCTGCAGGGCCGGGCTGGGCTATCGGGTCCGGCAGGCCCCTTCCCCCTCCAGCAGCAGGGCCCCGGCCCTATCTCATTAGCTCGAGATTAATGAGGCTCCTGCGCTGTCTTTAACTCCTTCCTGCTCGCCGGCTCCTGCCACCAGCTCCGCTGACCCTCGGCTCCGCTTCTCCCGGCAGGTTTGTGCCGACGCGTGCCAGAAGCTGAGCCAGAGGAGGACTGAGGGACGCCAGGCTCCGAACGGGGGGGTACACACCGCATTGACCCCGGTTGGTGACGGAGGCAGCGATGTTCCGGGCTACAGCTGCTGCCTGTTGAGCCCAAGGAGGCTTCGGACGCGTTCACCGGCAGCACCCTGAGCCCAGGGAGCCCTCGAGTGAAGGAGGCATCGGGGCAAGGCTGAGGGGGGCCGGGGGCACATCCTGCTGCCCTGCCCTGCCGGTGGTGGCCATTCCTGCCCGGACACCCACCAGCACTGCAGCCCCTCAGCTGCCCTCGCCCCCCCGGGCAGCCCCATTGCAGGGCTGCCCCCCACGGCGCGGCCCAGCCTTGGAGCACAGCAGCGTGCCGGGCGCTGCCCCCCGCGGCCCCCGGGTGCTGCCCCCCGGCTGCGTGGCCCCCCGTGCCCCCGGGGACCCTCCGCCCGCCGGCAGAGCCATGAAGCTGCAGGCGGTGATGGAGAACCTGCAGCGGCAGCAGCGCGCGCGGCTGCAGCAGGCGCTGGAAGCGCGGCAGCAGGAGCAGCAGCAGCAGCAGCAGCAGCGCTCCGCGTCCCCTCCGGCGCAGCCCCCGCCGGGCCCGGGGCAGCCTCCAGCCAGCACCCCGGCCCGTGCCCGCGGTCAGGATGCGGCCCCGGCACCCTCGGAGGAAGGAGCGGAGCCCGAGAGCGCGCACATGCAGCGGGCGCAGATGGCCGCTCTCGCTGCCATGCGGGCGGCAGCCGCCGGCCTGAGCCACTCGTCCAGCCCCGGGCCGTCGGATGAGAGCCAGGCCTCGGAGGAGGAGGAGGAGGAACACGGCGAGGAGGAGGAGGAGGAGGAGGAGGATGGCGGGTACCAGCAGGAGATGGGCTCGGAGGAGGAGGAGGATCTGTGAGTGTTCGCCAGCACTGGGGAAGGGGCAGGGATGTGATCCGGCTCCGGTGGGTTTTGGTACAGCTGGGGACACCAGCATCCCACTGGGGCTGGCAGTGGTGGTGGAGGCTGCCGGGGAAGCCTGTGCTGTGGATTAGTGCCGTGGGGATGTCTTGGATGCTGGCATGGGGCAACGTTCCGTCTCTGCCCGAGAGCTGTGTGGGGCCGTGACAGAGGATGCTGCGCTGGCTCTAAATAATGCAGGGCCCTCGTGGCTGCCTCCTCGCAGCCTCTCTGGGGCAGGGAATATGCGGGAGCCATATGGCAGAGCCACCGCTGGGGCTGCACCAGGTCACTGTGTGCCGGGTGGGTGGTCCCAGCCCCACGGCTGTGGGGTGCCCATGGGGAGGGCAGGTGGGAGAGGAGGGGGGACACTGCCCCGTGTGGGACCCAGCCGCTGAATCCTTCCTCTCCCTCCTGCTCTAGGAAGGGCAAGTGGGACGAAGATGACTTTGAAGAGGACCTGGGCGAGGAGGAAGAGGAAGAAGAGGAGGAGGAGGAAGAGGAAGACTACGAGGAGGAGGAAGATATGGGAGAGGAAGGGCTCGGCTCAGCAGAGGCGGTGGGGGCCGGCGCGGGCTCCCTGCTGCTCCGCAAGCCGCCGGCGCCGCAGCACTACCGGGGCGAGCCGCAGCGGGTGCCGGGCGGGCAGGAGCGGCTCCCCCCGGGGCTGGGCCACGCGCAGCCCCCGCCACCAGCGCCCGACCACGGTGACTGGACCTACGAGGAGCAGTTCAAGCAAGTAGGTGCCCGCCGAGACACGCGTGCGTCCCCTCCCCTGCTCTCGGCTCTGCCGTGCATCCCTATCGGTGCCGCCGTGTCCTCCGGTCGAGCTGCTAAGGGCACACTGGGATCCTCTGGGATCTTGGTGCTTGGGCTCAGCCTCACCCCTTCCCTGGTCGGTGGCTCTGATGGGATCCTGGTGTCCCGGTTGGCGCCGAGGCCCCAGCGCAGGCGGGCGGTGTGATGGGGTTTGCGCAGGGATTCTTGCTGATAACGGTGTGAAAATCCATCCCAAACTCCCGCTTCTGGTGGGGACCTGGCTTCCTCCCCATCACCGTCACCACAGAGGTGATGCCCAGCGGGACGGCTCCGGCCCCATGGATGCTGCAGGCTCTGGAGCTCGCTGTGCCCCACTTCCAGCTAATAGAAGGAAACGTTGTGCGAGCTGGGACTCCACGGGGGCTGCCCGGCACCTTTGATGTGTGTGTTTAAATACATCTGAGTTTAGGGCTGGGGGAAGGGACAGGAGCCAACAGCAGCAGATGGGACCCAGATGGAGCAGCCGGGGCTTGGTGGTGGCCTTTTGGGAGGGATGCGATGGCCCCTGCCCCTTCCCATTCGCATCCTTCCCAAAAGGGGGAAGGGGCTGCCGGGATCTGCCGGCACATCTGGATGCGGGGAGGAAGCACGAGGCAGCGCGGAGCCCCAGCAGCACCCACACTGCTCCCGTCTTGTGGTTTCTCTTTGGGTGCTTCCTGCTGTCGGGGAGCAAAGGGCCGGGCCCGTGAGCTCCTGTCTGCTACAGGTTTTTGTGATACCTCAGCCGTGATCTTCCTGTTCATCACCGTCTCGGTGCCCGGCAGTCGCTCGCAGCCCTTGGGATCCAACAGGAAGATCCAGGGTGGGTGGTTGGCGTCGACCCGCGCCACGCCGGTGCGGCAGCCCATAGATGTGCTAGGGGCAGGAAGAGCCCGGCACTGTGGTTATGGTTAATCATGGCAACAGCCAAGGTTGGGGGGGGGGGGGGGGAAGCGGCCGCTGTGGGAGCAGCGCCGGCCGGGTGAGGCTTTCCCCGGCGCTTGGATCGCGGCCGCTGGAGCCGGGCCAGGGGTTGCTGGGCTCAGCTCAGCGCGGCGCTGGCCGGGAGCTCCTCCTTGGCCACCCTCCAGCGCGTGCCGTGCTCCAGCCCCGGCCCCGCCGAGGAGCAGCAGGAATGTAAACAGTGAGTGCCGGTGGGGGGGGATGCGTTCCCCATTGCCCCGCCGGCGCGTCGTGGCCGAACGCATCCCCGTGGGGATGCGGTGCCGGGAGCGCAGCCGTGCCGGTGCTCTGCCTTCCCGCAGCGGTGGGGAGATGAGGAAGGGGTCGGTTTGGGTCCAGGGGTGCTCTCCCTGCAGCCGCGGTTGGGGTTCAGCTCTGGATGTGCTGGTGAATGACCCAGCATGGTGCTCTCTATGCTGGAGGACGTGGTCCTCACCGGGTAATGCCATCGTGTGGGTGCCCATCTGCACCAAAACCTCTTCCCAGGGGCTGTCCCCATCCTCCACAACGGGGTTTCATTGCCCCGTATGGGACAGATTCCTGCAAAGCGGGTTGAGCCGTGGGGGGAAGAGGAGGAGGAAGAGGGCCCAGCTCAAGGAAGGGGAGGGCGTGAGGAAGAGTTATGGAGGTTATGGAGGTGAGGGAGCCGGCGCGTGGCACCTCCCCGTCCCCGGGGACAGCTACCGCGAGGCAGAGGTCAGCTCGGCGCTGACCCGGGCGCAGGCAGCAGAACAAAGGAGCCCCCGGCGCTATGGGGGGCTCGGTGGCTCCTCGATGGGGAAAGGGACGTTTTGGGGCCCGGAGGAGGAGGATCCCCATGGGTGATGGCCCCCACAGCCTCCTCTTCCTCCTCCTCCTCCAGGCTCGCTTTCGGTTTGACCTCGTGCCTGTCGTAGCAAGGAGGGGACCGGGATGGCATCAGCACATCCCCAACTGATGCTCTTGTGTGGGTTTGGATTGGCACCCCTAAGGGCACAACAGGTCCCCACAGGGGCTGGGTGATGCCGGCTTGGTTGTGGCGGTCGCAGGGGCTGGGGGTGAGCCTGGGGCAGCGGTCACACTGCTGCTCCATAGGGCACAAGCCATCCCAAAGCTCCGGTGCTGCTCACAGCCAGCTCTGCCGGGGAGAAACCTGCTTTGAGTCCGTGCCCCAACCCCGGGGCTCTGCATGGAACCCCCCTCCTGACCTTTCTGTTTCGTTACTGCTATTACTGTGCCCTACTAACACCAGTTTCCTGCCTGTGCCCCTTGGGGAGCTTCCTGTGCTGCCTGCACTCCCTCGGGCACCAGCACCGTGTCCTGCAGGGTTGGGGGGGAGGAATCTACCTCCTGGTGCCCCCTGCACCAGGCACTGTCTCCGATTTGGGTGTCCCCTTTGGGGTGCTGTGTTTGGGCTGCCTCAGGCTGGTGTTTAACACCCTCGCCTTCAGAGGAAGCAGCGGAGGCTTTGAGAAGCTGATGCTTTGCGGGGGGGGGGGGGGTGCAAGAGGTTTCTTAAGGTGTCCCAAATGGGGGCAACGGTGGCACATGGAAGGGGGTGAAAACCTCAGCCCTTATCTTGAGCTGAGCATTGCCCCACTGCAGCGTTTCAAAGGGCAATGATTTGGGGGGGGGGGGGAAGAAAGAAGTAAACCAAAAGCAAATCTGCAGCTTCGGGGGGGGGGCAAAAGCCAAAACCTGCCCCCCCTCATCCTGCCTGCTTCCAGGATTTCACACACTGGGAGCACAGTGACTCCCGGGAAGATGAAGCTGGGATTTTCCTGCGGGAAAAGCCTGGTTTTCCTCCAAAACCCAGGCTCTGGTTAAGGCGTGGGGGCCCTGAACCCTTCCTCCCATGGTTTATTTCCTTTTGCCCCCCCACCAGTGCTGGTTGAGGGCACGGGGGGGGGGGGCCCACGGCCCCTTCACGAGGGTCCATTTACTGTCCTTAAAATATTGATTAGTGCTTTATTGCATGAGCCGAGGGCGAGGGGGCCCCTGCACAGGGAAAGGGGGACCCGCATGTCACCAGCCCCCCAGCCCTAAAGGCGTTTGAGCTCTGGCCGGTGCCGTGGCGTGGCCAGATAAAGGGCAGCACCATGGGGCCCCCCCTGTGCTGGGAGGAGGTAGATAACGGGGGCGAGGAGGGGACCCCTCATGGGACAAGGGCCATGCCCACCGCGGTGCCGCCGTCCTGCGCCCGGCTCGCTGCAGGGTGCTCCCAAGCTGGGATCCATCCCGGTAATTGGCTCGCGGTGCTCAGGGAGCCTTCTCGGAGCCGTAATCCCACCGGATCCCTGGCCGGGGGTCAGGGACTTCTTGGTGAGAGCGGCTTAGCCTCCCCCAGCCCTGCCTGGTGCCTGCTCCGGTGTTTGGACACCGAGTGAAGCCATTTCTCCCAAGGAGACCAGGGATAACGCACAACGTAGGGGACAGGGATGGGCCAGTGGCCAGTGCCTTCGCTGTGTTTGCTTCTGGGTGAACCAGCACCCCACCCCACCCCATTCCGCATGGGAACCAGGCTTGGTCCTCCCGCATTGGCATTGTCTGTTAGTGTCCCCCTCGCAAGCCTCAGCTCCCCCACCCCGGCTCCGGCTGATTCAAGGGCTGCAGAGGAGGCTCCAGCACAGCTGAACCAACAGGAATGAGGGTTTATTTAAAAGAAGAAGGGAGGGGGGGAACAGCAGAGCAAGGGCAGGTCTTTTGTCAGCAAAGCAAACACCCGCCGGGCCGCGGGGCGGTTGGGCAAGGGAGCAGCATTGCTCCATCGCCCTATTTCTGGCCCAAACCGCAGGAGCGGGGCCCGGCGCGGAGCCGGACGTGCTGCAATCGGGGGCCAGGGTGGGGGGCAGGTGGTGTTTTAGGGATGGGGGGAGCGTCTCTGTTGGTACTCAGCTGCTTGCCGGGCGCCGAGTCCCTGGGGCAGCCGGATCGGGGGGTTTAGGGTGCAGGTCCTGGCTCCCAACCTGCTCCCGGCCCCTTCCATTTGGTCACTTCATGTGCCTGTGCCAGGGTCCCCTCTCGATGGAGCTGGTGACAACCCACGTGTATCCCATGGACGGGGCAGCGCCGTCCCTGCTGTGGTCACTTCCTTGTCCCCCCTGCTAGAGATGGCAGCGGGGAGCACCGGGGCAGACCCTGGCCCTAAATCCCTTTGCCTCCTGCCTCAGTTTCCCTGCCTCTGCAGGGCTGATGGCCCAGTGCTGGCTCCCTGTCAAAACCATCTGCTGGAGGGGCTGCTGGACCTCTGCCAGCTCCCATGGGTAGGACTGGGGAGTGTGGGTCTCTCCCCCCCCCCCAACCGATACCAGCAGGGACACTGGTGTAGCCGGTGGAGTTGCTGTGCCCTGGATGGACGGACCTCGCATTTCAGGAACAGATTTGCAATTAGCCAAATCCGGGCGGTGGTGGAAGCCCTGGTGACAGTGACTCATCTGCTCCGGCTCCCAGCGATCCCGCTCTAAGCCGATCATTTACATATGGTGGAATTTAAACCCCAGCTCTGCTGCCGGGGCCGCTGTCCCTGTGCTCACACACTGCCCCGCACCCGGGGGTCTCAAGGGGGACGGACAGCCCGAAGCGGGGAGCTCACCGGGTCCCCCAAGGCTTTGCTCTGTTTCTCTGTCAGGAAAAGCTTTGCTTTTGGCCGTGTTCCCCCCTCCCGGCCCGTGCCATGGGGCTGCGGATGAGCCGGGCGCTGGGTGTTGCTGCCTGGGCCGAGCTTTGTGAACCCTGCCTGGCTGCACTGAATTAATATTTGCACAAGGTCTGGGGCGATAGCGAGCTCGTGTCAAGGGCAAGCGCCGGCACGCACCAGGGCCAGCATCCCATCGCCCGGCTTAGAGAGGGGGTGACAGCCCCCAGGACCCCCGTCCTACCACTGCTTGGCCCCGAGCTCTCAGCTCAGATGCTGCTGCCCAGCAGGACCCGCAGAAACCATGGTTTGAAATGCAACTGCAGCAGGATTCGCTTCCTCCTCCGCAGGAAGGGGAAGCAGCAGCAGCAGCAGCAGCAGCCGCAGCGCAGCCGTCTTGGGAGCCGCTGTCAGCCCGCCCGGGCCGGTGGCTCCATGCGGAGCATTGCGGCTGCTGCCGGGCCCCGCAGCGCGGTGGGGAGGGCGGCCTCGGGCGCAGGGACAATGGTGGGTCAGGGAGGTTAAACGGCGACTAATTCGCCCATTCAATGTCCCCCCTCCGTGCCGGTGGCACCCGCGGTGCCGGCGCTGACACGGCCTGCGTGCCCCTGGGTCACCCGTACGGCTGCTGCCCCCAGCCTGGGCACGGGGGCTCTGTGGGTCTAATGGGGGGGGCTTGGTTTGGGTCGGGGCACTGCTTGGCCGTGAGCTTCTACTCGTCCCTGTCCCCTTCCCCACGTCGAGTGGTGTGGGTCCCGCAGGACCGCAGCACGGATGCAGCTACAGCATCACTCGGGGGGGTGGGGGTGGTTTGCTGATGCTGGGGGGAGCGTGGTTGGTCTCAGGGCCCCCCGAGTCGGGGGGCGATGACCGGGGATTGGGACCGGGCTTGTCCCTGAGGAGGGGGCACCGGTGGGGAGCGGTGATGGGGCCGTGTCCTGGCCCGCCAAGGGGACAATGCTGGGAACCAGCGGGAACAATGGTGCCGACGGGAAGCACGGGGCGAGGGCCCAGCTCTCGCCACCCCCCCTCCCCTCAGCTCCCCGGCTGCCCCCGCGCTCCGGCAGCAGGAATCCCGCCGGGCCGGTCAGTGGACTCGGCCCCATCCCGCACGGGCGTGTTCCCGGCCGGCCGACCGGGAGGGGTTAATGGGAGGGGGCACATCCCTGCTGCCCCTTCCCAGCCCGCAATGGAGACCGCTGTGCTTTGGAGGGGGCTCGGGGATGGGAGCAGCGAGAGCTGCCCCGTCCCTAAGCCGAGCGCTTTATCTGCAGCGGGATCTGCGCCGGACTCCCCCTTTGCCCTTCGCTGGGAGGGAGAGGCCCCAGCAAACCCCATTCCTTGTGCTGGATGGGGGGGACCGACGGGGCCCCACGGCCTCGGGAACCCCAGCCGTGACTCAGCCGCCGTCTGACGGGAAAGCAGCTCAAGCATCTCCCGCAACGCCTCATCCCCGCTCTCTGGTTCTTACAAAGCACTTTCTTCCCCTGCAACCCCCAGCCGCGGTGCGGGGCCGGTGCCAAGGCATGCGGGGGGCCGGGAAACACCCCCTTGGTGTTTATGTGCGTTAAATAACTCGTTAACGTGCGCGGTTCCTCCCGTCCCCCCCCCGCTGCCCGGCATCGCCCCTGCGCTGTCAGCGGGACAAAGGGACGTTCCCTATGGAATGCTTGGAGGAAGGAAGGAAGAGAAGGAGACCCCCACTCCCTGCAGCCGCCGCTTTCACGCCGCTCTAGCATCAATCAGAGGCTTCCCTCGGTACCTGCCGCAGGCGCCGCACCGGCGTGGGCTCTGCCCTGCTGCTGCCTTTGGGGTTTTTCCCTAAATACAGAAAATCAGGATTTTCCAGCCTCTGGAAGGCAGCGGGATCTGCCAGAGGGCCTGACCCCCCCCCCGCCACCCAGGGTCACGGCATGCACGTCCCAAACCGGTATCGAGGAGAAGGGAGGAAGGCCGAGAGTGCCAGGACTTCCTGGCGATGGAAAAGAGACTTGGAAATTAATCCCCAAGGCCTGAAAACCAGAACCAAGCTGGGGTTGGGGGGGGGGGGGAGATGCTTTTAACTCGGGCTTCTCTGCAGCCACAGCCCTGCACACCCCTGCTCTGGTTGTGGGGGGGGGACACCCTCACTTGTCTCTGGTGTAAGTCCCGGCATTGCTGAGTGCTTCCCCTCCCTGCTGTAATTACCCCTTTGCCTGCCGTGATGGGGAGCAGTGGGCTGGGGAGGTTATCTCGGTCCCTCCCGGACCCCCGGCACGCACCGCTCCCGTGCCGAGGGCTCTGTGCTGCATTCCTGGCATTGCCGAGGGGCCGCCTCCCCGCCAGCCCTTTGAAAGGCACCGGGTTGGGATTTTCCCGTAATCTGGTTTGAATCGTTAATCCGGTCATCCACACCAAACGCCGGGCCGGCATCCTGCCGGGGTGCGGGCTCAGCACCGCCCCCCCCCCCCCCCTTTCCTCATTCCTCCTCCACTTAATTATATATCTGCTGGCAACAGCCATCTGGCACCGTGTCCTCAGCCGGCCATGGGGGGACCCATGGCGGTTGTGCCGCCGGCAAGGCGGGTCGGGCACCGTGGCACATAGCGGTGGTGTTTGCCCTGTGCTGAGCGAGCACCGGGAGCAGTGGGTGCTTGGGACCAGATCCCCATCCCCAGGACAGGGGAGGGACGGGGGTGTCTCTTATCCTGGCTGTGCCGCGGCATCCCCGGCACCGCGGCCTCGCCGTGGCGAGGGGATCTCGTTGCGTTGCGGTTTGAGCCGTTTCCACCTCCCTGCAGCCTCCCCAGTTACGAAACGGGAATCTCTTGACTCAGCAGCGGCCCCGCGGCCTCTCCCGGCTCCCTGCCCGGCGCTACCTTTGCACCGAGCCGCACTCTGCGCCGCGCAGGAGGCCGTGAGCGATGGCCGGAAGGGCACCGGCACCTGCTGATTTCGGTGCGGTGGTGCCGCGCTCGGTTTCACCCGCTGCCGATGCGAGAGCACGTTTCTGTTCCTCAATCTTTATTTTGAGCCCCGGTATCGAAGCTGCCCTGCGGTGCCTTTCAGTGGTGCCGGGGTGTGCGGCTGCCAGTGATGGCACAGCCAGGCTGCCATCAATGCAAGGGAAACCCTGCGTGGTGCTGCTGGGAATCGTTCCCCCCCGCCCTGCCCCATTCCATGCCCGGTGGCGAGGGGGAACGGGGACAGCTCGGTGATGCCGCGGTCACGGCACATCCCCTGCTCCGGCTCCCTGGCACAGCCGCACCAAGGTCTTGTGGGCCCGGCTGAGCCCCTCTCCCTGCTCTGGAGCGCGGTGGAGCTGTCGAAATCTCACCGGTAACCGCAGGCAGCAGCTTGCGACACGGCCTTTGCCCGGCTGCGGCGCTGGGCGTGCCGCAGGGCCTCAAGGGCACCGGCTGGGAATGGGGCTCCCTTAGTGACCCCACACTGCTTCATCCTGATGGGGGGGGACGGGAAGGGGGACGGTTGTGGCCGGCGGAGCTTGGATTGGGACCACCAATGCTGCGGGCAGTGGGGGGCACGTGAAAGGGCGGCCGCTAATCCCCATGTCCTGCCCGGCGCACGCTTTCCTCAGCTGATGGCTCGTTTTCCTGCATCCTCTTAAACGTTCCCTTCAGGACGATGCCAGAAGGGGGGCTCACAGCCAGGGTGAGGGGGGAGAAAGGGGGTCCTGGCAGTCAATAACTCTCCATACGCACCCCGGTAGCAGCTTTAGCCAAGAGCTGCCTTGCTGAAGGTGGATGGAGCCCTCCGGTGTTTTCCTAAATGGCCAATCCGTTTTAGAGCTCTGTAGGTTAATGGGCTCCTCGTGACCCCCCTGCACTGTGCCAGGACAGCTCCACGGTCATGCCGTGACCCACCGTGGTCCGGGACCCTTCTCCCTCTCCAGGTTTGGATTTAACTTGAGCAGCTTCCAGTGCTGCTCGAGGAAAGGCTGGATTGGCTCCAGCCCCGCATCCCTCAGCCGGTCGGGATGAACCACCATGGCAGTGCCCTCTCTGTCTCACTCCATCCCTGGTGCCGGTGCCCCTCGAGGCTCCCCGCTGCCCATGGACCCCGGGGTGCTGGGGTAGGAGATGTGCTTTGAGGGCTCTTGGCCGGTGGTGCCGGTGGCTCCGGCCCTTTCCCGGCGGGATTGCTGGGGCCGGGTGAGGTTTCCAGGGGAACTGGGGGGTTTATGGCTTTCCCGCACGCCCGGCCCCTCTTATCACGGCCCCATTGATCCCTTTGATCGGCGCCGGCAGCTGAGTTCAGCCCCGCGGGGTCCGGATCTGGGGGGTGTGTGTGTGAAGGGGGGGGGTGCAGTGGGAGAAGGGGCCTCGGCAGTGGGTCCCGGTGCCGCCGTGTGCCCGCGGGACGAGCGGGTGTACCGGTGACCCGGTTGAACGCGGTGCGCGTTGGCTGGGTTACGCAGTGATATTTATAGCCCCGTGCCGCTGGCAGCTGCTCAAAGCTGTCATTGAGGAAAGCGGGAGCCCCGCGCCGTGCCGTCCATCCCCGTGGCGCCTGGGCAGCCCCCGGCTCTGACAACTCCTCCTCGACGAGGGGGGATGAGGATGAGGAGCGTCCCCCCCAGCCACCACCGCCTGCGGCTCTGGACCGCGCCGCGCTGAGGGGGCCGGGCGCTCCGCAGCACATCCCTGCTGCCATAAATCAGTCAGGAATGCGCCGTGTCGGGATGCAGCCACCCCTGACACCAGGTGCCCCGGCACAACCGGGCGCTCGAGGTGCCCCAGGCCTTGCCCCGCTCCGGCAGTGCCGGGGTTCGCTCCGGTGAGCCCGGGGAGATGCTCTTGCAGGAGGAGGTGCTGCCAGCCCTGATGGGGCAGCTTTGCCCTCCTCATTTGTCAGCGCTGGACCCCCAGGGAGCCGTTTTGAGCCCACCGCTGCAGGCGCAAGCCTCCTGGTTCACGGACGCGCACCAGCCGGTTCTCTTGGCGCTGGGTCTCTCCGGCGCTGCAGGTGTGGAGGAGGGATCGTGCCAAAGCATCGCTCCAGTCTGCGCCGAGCAGGATGCTAAAAATACCTGGGATCGGCATTCCCGAGAGGAGCAGGGGCCAACCACGGTGTTCGCAGCTGCACCGGCTCTCAGTGGGGCAGGGGATGGTGGTGCCAGGTCCAGCCTCAGCTGCAGGGACCTTGGGGACCCCATGGCCCCATGCACGGATCCCCAGAGCCCTCGGCATCCTGTGAGGCTCCAGGATCACAGCCCAGGGATGCTGGTTTGGGGTATCGGGGGGGTCTGGGGTGGTGGGGGGCATTGGTACAGGAGTGGGGAGCATTGGTACTGGGGGGGGAGCATCGGCATAGGGGTTTCTGAGTGGTGTTCTCCTCTCGTTGTGCAGCTGTATGAGCTGGATGGGGACCCCAGGAGGAAGGAGTTCCTGGACGACCTCTTCAGCTTCATGCAGAAGCGAGGTGAGCTCCCCTGGATCTCTGCCCCGGAGGCTCCCCCTTCTCCCCCCACCCACCCACATCCTCCCCAGGGCTGGGGGCTCATTTCCTCACCCCGAGTTCAGTCCCAGCCCCGCTCGGGCCCATGGTTAATTTTTAACCTCTTTGCACAATGGGGTCAAACCTGCTGGGCTGGATCCGGGCTCCCCTCACCCGCTCCGGCTCTTGGCCAACCCTGGGCATGTTGCCCCCAGCCAGTGTGTGTGTGTCCCCCCCCAGGTTATCACTGAGGATGAAGCCCCTTGCTACCTCTTCACTCTGCTGGGGTGTGGGATGCTGTGTCCGGGGGGCAGGGGGAGTCATGGAAAGGGCTGGAAACGAAGCTAAGGGTCTGGTTCCTGCATGGAAAACAGCTCTGGAAGTGCTGACACATCGCTGCCTCCAGCCCTTTGTGGGGCTGGCATTGGGGGAAGCACGTGTGCTCTGTGTGTGTGTGTTTGTGCATGGAGAGGGGGGGGGACCCCCACTGGCAGCGTCCCACCGAGATCACACCCCGGAGCTGGGCAGGCAGAGAGGGGGATGCGCTGCAGCCCCTTCCCCATCCCTAAAGGGGACCCCCATGAATAACCCCCGTTATAAATAACTCGTGTTGCCGGGTGCCACCGGGCTCAGCCTGAGAAACCGCGCTCAGCTGCGGCTGCAGGCGCGAGTTTCTGTTTCCTTTGCTCATGAGGCTGATGCTCAGAGGGGGGGGTCCAAGGGGGGAAGGAGATGGTGGGAGGGAGGGGATGAGCAGCAACACCCCCCCCCCCCCCGCTGCCTCGCTGGGGGTCTCGATGGCTTCCCCCTGGGGTGAGAAAGCAGAACCCAGACCCGCTCTCTCCTCCCTTCCCCGCTCCCCAGGGACCCCCGTCAACCGGATCCCCATCATGGCCAAGCAGGTGCTGGACCTGTACATGCTGTACACGCTGGTGACGGAGAAGGGCGGCCTGGTGGAGGTGATCAACAAGAAGCTGTGGCGAGAGATCACCAAGGGGCTGAACCTGCCCACCTCCATCACCAGCGCTGCCTTCACCCTGCGCACCCAGTGAGCGGCGGGGGGCTCGGCGTGGCGGGCAGGGACGGGGACGGGGGGGGTCCTGCGGTGGTGATGGTGCTGCCCTGCATGGGGGCGGACAGGGATGGATGGGTACCATCGCCGTCACCATCATCCTCCCCATCCCTTTCCTCCTGCAGGTACATGAAGTACCTGTACCCCTACGAATGTGAGAAGCGAGGGCTGAGCAACCCCAACGAGCTGCAGGCGGCCATCGACAGCAACCGGCGGGAGGGCCGCCGGCAGGGCTTCGGCAGCTCCCTCTTCACCTACTCCCCCGGCGGCACCCATGGGCTCCTCTCCTCCCCGAAGCTGCCGGTGCCGGCGCTGGGGTTGGCGTCCACCACCAACGGCGGATCCATCGCTCCCGTCCAGAAGATCAAGAAAGGTAACGGCCGCTATGGGGCCCGGGCTGTGGGCTGAGCAATGGGGGGGGGGTGGTGGTGTTCACGCTCCTGTCCCCCTCCTCTGGGCACTGGGGATCATTCCAGGGACCCTCACTCCGCTCAGGGGCAGGAGGGGACACGCCGGGGTGGTGGCATCCATCCCTCCCTGCGCCCCGCATCGCTGACCGCCGCTCTGCCCCTGCAGAGGAGGACTCCCCCATCCCCATCTCCGTGCCCAGCCGGCTCCCGGTCTCGCTGGCCGGGCACCCCGTGGTGGCAGCTCAGGCGGCCGCGGTGCAGGTGGCAGCGGCGGCTCAGGCCGCGGCGCTGGAGCAGCTGCGGGAGAAGCTGGAATCGGGGGAGCCCCCGGAGAAGAAGATGGCGCTGGTGACGGACGAGCAGCAGCGGCTCATGCAGCGGGCGCTGCAGCAGAACCTCCTGGCCATGACGGCCCAGCTGCCCATGAGCATCCGCATCAACAGCCAGGGCACCCGCTCGCCAGGTCAGTGCCAGCCCCGGCAGAGCCCCCGGCCCCGTGGTCCTTGTGGGGTCCGTAACCCGGCTCTTCCCCGGCAGAGAACCGCCAGGACTCGGCCACCGGCCTGGGCAGCAACGGCACCAACAGCATCAGCATGTCGGTTGAGATCAACGGTATCGTCTACACAGGTGAGGGGCTCGTCCTCTGCCGTCCCCAGCATCCCCCGGTGCTGGCACTCCCGGTAGCGTCGGCACGGCCACAACGCCCCATGGCTCAGCCCCCCTGCTCTCTCCACCCAGGTGTGCTGTTCGCCCAGACGCCCGGCCCTTCCTCCTCCTCTTCCTCCTCCTCCTCCTCGCTCCCTTCCTCTGCCTACAGCAAAGGCAACGGCGGCGGCGGCGGTGGCAGCCGGACCAGCGGTGGCGGCGGCGGCGGCACCGCGGCACCGACCAACCTGGCCGTGCCGCCCACTTCTACCTCCAACAACGCTTCGCCTTAACAAACACCCCTGCACCGGGGCCTCATTGGGGTCTCATTGGGGTCTCAGCGGGCTCTGCCCGTGCCCTCGTGTTGTTGGCTTTCCCTTCACAAGCCAGAAAAGCTTTAGCCCAAGGGGGGGGTTTTGCCGGAGCCGCCGGCTCGTCCCGCTGCGCCGCGCCGGTCCGGGACCGTTTACCTCACTCACATCACACTTTGCACTGTACATTTATTATTATTATTAATTATTAATTATTGGGTTTGACCTCGTGTTACCTCCAGACAGACGCACGGACGCCTGCCGATGCGAGCTGTAGTGAAACCCCCCCTCCGGTGCACTCTCTAAAGGCAAAAAAAAATACCCCATCGATAAATCGGGATATTTTATCCATTTAGATCCTCATTTAGCTCCTTTTCCCCCTATCCCCAATCCCTTTTCTTTTTGAGGACTCGCTATACGGGATTTGAAGAGGTTGTTGTTTGATTGTTTCGTTGTAAATAGCTTCTATTTTATTCTCAGAAAGAAGAATCAAACTTTAACATGCAAAATGATATATATTAGTGCTCATCAGGGAAACAGGAGCTTGGAAAACTGGGAAATCTGTAGTGGAAACTGGGAAAGCTTTAGTGGAAAGCCTGATTTGTATTCCTTCCCCCGTTATACTACTGTGGAAAGCCCGTTTGGGCATCTTGTCCTCCCCAAAACAAGCAGCGTGGTGAGAGCAGGAGCCAGGAGATTCTTGGTGGAGGGGGGGGGGGGGGGATTGGCTTAAATAGCCACTTAGCAACGGGATGCAGGAGCTTGTATCCGTGATAGGGATGCTCAAGGACCGGGGGGCTGTGGGGTGCCCCGGTCCTTCAGGATCCCCCAGCCCTATGGGTGGATTTGAAGCATCTTTCTCTCCCCATCCTGCCACGCTGAGGATTTTCCCACTCTTTTAACCTTTCCTTGCCCCCCCCCTCCATCCCAAACCATCTGCGTGAGACACAATCACGACCCGATACCGAACCCACCCCCCCTTTCTTACCCCAATTCGGTATCTCAAGTCCTCAGGTTCCCACCTCAAGCACAGGGTGGGTTGTTCCCCCCCCCCCCTTTCCCCAGGTGCCTGGTGTGTGTGGGGGGGTTCTCTTGCTCTTGGACCCCCCCCTTTTCTTTGCTTTTCCCTTGGGGAAGAGGCGATCTCAGGGGATCCGGGGCTTTTCCAGCTTGGTTTTAGCCTCTTTCCACAGCTGGAAGTGCCCCTTTAGTGGCTCCATGGACCCCATCCCTTATGGGGTGGGTAGAGAGGTGATGCAGGGGAGGGGTCCATCCACCTCCTGCCGCTGTCGGATCCAGCTCTCCACAAGGAGATATCCCAAAGGGAGGGGGGGGGGAGGTTTTTACACCCAGGGTGGGCTTTAGATTCTCTTCAGTGACTTTTTCCTTTGTACAGTCACCGTTTTGGGTTGGTTTCTTTATTTTTCATGATTTTCACGCCCCCCCTTTTTCCTTCCCCTTGTTTTTTGAGGTTTTTTTTTTTGGGAATATATTACCTCCCACTGGATTTTTTGTTTTTTTTTTTTTACATATCAGTTTAAAAAGAGAAGAATAATAATAAAAAAAAGAAGCCTAAATCAGTTTCTCTGGGGTTTAGAAAAGCAAAAACTCAATAGGAACGGACCCAGCTGCAGCCGCCTCGACCCAGCGAGCGCATCTTAACTCAGGTAAAAATAGACAGAAGAATGAAAAACGGAGAGAAAAAAAAAAAAAAACAACAAAAAAAGACAAAAAAAAAAGGACAAAAAATAGGAATAAAAACCACATTCTACCTCTGCGAGCGGCGGCCTCGCGCGCACCCGGGGCCGCCGGTGAAAGATTTCAGTTTTGCAGCCATTCAGGTATTGAAACTTTTGATGATTTAATTAATAAAAAAATAAAAATAAAATTAAAAAAAAAATTAAAAAAAAAGAGAAAGGAAAAATAATAATAAAAAAAAAAGATGAAAAAAAAGAGAAAATAAAAGAAAAACCACTGAAAGTTTACATTTTATAATAACATTATTATACAGATTGTATTTAAACGTCAGAATATTTAAGACAATTGTAACCCTGTAAAGTTGATGAAATATTAAAAAAAAAGGAAAAAAAATATATAAAGTGTGGTGTGTTGGGGGTTGTGTCCTGGGGGTGCCCCCCCCCCCCACCCGCCCTATGGGGGTGCTTAAGGAGCCATAGGGTGGCCATGGGGCTGGGAAGTGGCCATGGGGTCCCTCTGGAGTGCCTAGAGGGTCCCTATAGGATGGGCATGGGACTATGGGGTCCTCATGGGGTCCCTATGGGCTGCCTATAGAGTTACAGGGTCCTTTACAGGGTGTCCATAGGGCTTGGGGGTGTCCATGGGGTCCGTATGGAATACCTATAGAGTGTTGTGGGGTCCTCATGGGGTCTCTATGGGGTGCCCATGGGGTTACAGGGTCCTTCACAGGGTGTCCATCGGGCTTGGGGTGTCTATGGAATCTCTATGGAATACATACAGGGTGTCACAGGATCCTCATGGGGTGCCCATAGGGTGTCCATGGGGTCACTATGGAGTGCCTATAGGGTTATGGGATCCTTTACAAGGTGTCCATAGGGCTGTGGGGTGTCCATGAGGTCCACACAGGGCGTCCATAGGGCTTGGGGGTGTCTATGGGATCCCTATGGAATACCTATAGAATGTCACGGAGTCCTCATGGGGTGCCCATAGGGTGTCCATGGGGCCCTTATGGGGTGTCCGTAGGGTTATGGGGTCCTTTACAGAGTGTCCATAGCGCTGTGGGGTGTCCATGAGGTCCACATTGAGTGTCCACAGGGCTTGGGGTGTCTATGGGATCCCTATGGAATACCTATAGAATGTCACGGAGTCCTCATGGGGTGCCCATAGGGTGTTTATGGGGTCACTATGGGGTACCTATAGGGTTATGGGGTCCTTTACAGCGTGTCCATAGGGCTGTGGGGTGTCCATGAGGTCCACACAGGGCGTCCATAGGGCTTGGGGTGTCTATGGGATCCCTGTGGAATACATACAGAATGTCATGGGGTCCTCATGGGGTGCACATAGGGTGTTCATAGGGTCCCTATGGGGTGCCTATAGGGTTACGGGATCCTTTGCAGTGTGTCCATAGGGCTGTGAGGTGTTCATGAGGTCCACATTGGGTGTCCATAGGGCTTGGGGTGTCTATGGGATCTCTATGGAATACCTGTAAGAGTGCCATGGGGTTCCCATGGGGTGCCCATAGGGTGTCCATGGGGTTTCCATGGGGTGCCCATAGGGTTATTGGATCCTTTGCAGGGTGTTCACAGGGCTACGAGGTGTCCATGAGCTCCACACAGGGCGTCCATAAGGCTTGGGGTGTCTATGGGATCTCTACAGAATACCTGTAAGAGTGCCACGGGGTCCCCATGGGGTGTCCATGGGGCCCTTATAGGGTGTCCATAGGGTTATGGGGTCCTTTACAGTGTGTCCATAGGGCTGTGAGGTGTCGAGGAGGTCCACACAGGGTTTCCATAGGGCTTGGGGTGTCTATGGGATCCCTATGGAATACCTATAGAATGTCACGGAGTCCTCATGGGGTTCACATAGGGTGTCCATGGGGCGCTTATAGGGTGTCCGTAGGGTTATGGGGTCCTTTACAGAGTGTCCATAGGGCTGTGGGGTGTCCATGAGGTCCACACAGGGCGTCCATAGGGCTTGGGGTGTCTCTGGGATCCCTGTGTAATACATACAGAATGTCACGGGGTCCTCATGGGGTGCACATAGGGTGTCCATGGGGCCCTTATAGGGTGTCCATAGGGTTATGGGGTCCTTTACAGCGTGTCCATAGGGCTGTGAGGTGTTCATGAGGTCCACATTTGGGGTCCATAGGGCTTGGGGTGTCTATAGGATCTCTATGGAATACCTGTAAGAGTACCACGGGGTCCCCATGGGTGCCCAGAGGGTGTCCATGGGGCCCTTATAGGATGTCCATAGGGCTTGGGGTGTCTATGGGATCCCTATGGAATACCTATAGAATGTCACGGAGTCCTCATGGGGTGCCCATAGGGTGTCCATGGGGCCCTTATAGGGTGTCCCTAGGGTTACGGGGTCCTTTACAGGATGCCCATAGGATCTCGAGGTCTCCTCTATGGGCTGTCCCTATAGGGCACCCCTACAGCGTGACCCAATGGGCTGCCAGGGCTGTCTTGGCCCCGCCCCACGCCGCCGCCTTTGATTGGCGGAGACAGCGGGCGGGGCGGCGCTCTAGGCGTCCGCCGCGCTTCTCTCTGTGCCTGGCGGACCGCGAAGATGGCGGCGCCCATGGAGGTGGCGCTGGTGACGGACGCGGCGGGGCCGCTGTGCAACTGCTCGGCCTGGGAGCTGCACTCGGGCTCGGCGCTGCCCGGCTACCGCGGAGGCAACAGCGGCCCCCGGGGGCTGGCGCTGCTGGGCGGGGAGCACCTCCTGGGAGCGCAGCTCGGCAAGAGCTACATCAACGTCTGGGAGCTGCAGAGGAAGGTACCGGCCCCGAGAGGCCTCCGCTCCGGAGGGACCCCCCGCCACCGCCACCACCCACTGCGGCTGTGGGGATGGAGCCGGGGATCCCTTCCCTTGAGACCCCTCCCCTTGTCTGTGGTGGGGGTCCCGCTCCCCATAGAGAGACTTGGTCCCCATGGGGAGTCCTGTCCCCCATGGCACCTCCTTCGTGGAGGCACCCATCTCGGTGGTGGGGGTCCCTCTCCCCCATGGAGACCCCTGCCTGCATGGCCCCTTTCCCCGTTGAGAGCCTTGGTCCCCATGGGCAGTTCCATTCTCTGCAGCACCAACTTCATAGGGACCCCCATCTCGGTGGTGGGGGTCATGTTCCCCCCGCTTTCCCCATAAAGAGCCTTGGTCCCCATGGGCAGTCCTGTCCCCGTCAGCACCTCCTTCGTGGAGACCCCCATCTCAGTGGTGGGGATCCCTCTCCCCCATGGAGACCACTGCCTGCGTGGCCCCTTTCCCTGTTGAGAGCCTTGGTCCCCATGGGCAGTTCCATTCTCTGTGGCACCTCCGTCATGGAGTCCTCATGGGGTGCCCATAGGGTGTCTCCCCTTTCCCCATAGAGAGCCTTGGTCCCCATGGGCAGTTCCATTCTCTGTGGCACCTCCGTCATGGAGTCCTCATGGGGTGCCCATAGGGTGTCTCCCCTTTCCCCATAGAGAGCCTTGGTCCCCATGGGCAGTTCCATTCTCTGTGGCACCTCCTCCATGGTGACCCCCATCTCGGTGGTGGGGGTCCCGTTCCCCCCATTTTCCCCATAGAGAGACTTGGTCCACAGGGTCAGGTACCCCCTTGCTGGAGATCCCTATCTCTGTGGTGGGGGTCCCTCTCCCCCATGGAGACCCCTGCCCGCATGGCCCCTTTCCCCGTTGAGAGCCTTGGTCCCCATGGGCAGTTCTGTCCCCCATGGCACCTCCTTCATGGAGACCCCCATCTCGGTGGTGGGGGTCCCGTTCCCCCCGCTTTCCCCATAGAGAGCCTTGGTCCCCATGGGCAGTTCCATTCTCTGCAGCACCAACTTCATAGGGACTCCCATCTCTGTGGTGGGGGTCCTGCTTCCTCCTCCCTTTCCCCATAGAGAACCTTGGTCCCCATGGGCAGTCCTGTCCCCCTCAGCACCTCCTTCATGGAGACCCCCATCTCTGTGGTGGGGGTCCTGCTTCTTTCCCCCTTTCCCCATAGAGAGCCTTGGTCCCCATGGGCAGTTCTGTTCTCTGTGGCACCCCCTTCATGGAGACCCCCATCTCAGTGGTGGGGATCCCTCTCCCCCATGGAGACCCCTGCCTGCATGGCCCCTTTCCCCATAGAGAGCCTTGGTCCCCATGGGCAGTTCCATTCCCTGCTGCACCAACTTCATGGAGACCCCCATCTCGGTGGTGGGGGTCCTGCTTCCTCCCCCCTTTCCCCATAGAGAGCCTTGGTCCACAGGGTCAGGTACCCCATCGCTGGAGACCCCCACCTCTGTGGTGAGGGCCCCTTTCCCCTTATCCTCCTCGCTCCACAGAGACCTCCATCACCAGCATCCCTGTTTCCACAGAGCTCCCCCCCAGTGACACCCCTGAGCCCCCCATCTCCCCCCACATACTGAATGGCCGCTGTGTTCGTTCTGCCCCCAGGACCAGCTCCAGCAGAAGATCATCTGCCCCGGGCCGGTGACCTGCCTGACAGCCTCTCCCAATGGGCTCTACATCTTGGTCGGGGTTGCTGAGAGCATCTACCTGTGGGAGGTGAGGGGCTGGCACGAGGGATGGGGTCACATCCTGACCGCTTCACAGCTGCCCCTGTGCCATCCGAGCTCAGTAAACCCACCTGCTCTGGGCCCTGCAGTGGGGCTTTGCTGGGCCCTGGACATGGCAGCTGTGCTGTGGGCTCCACGGTGCCCCAGGGGCCAGCGGCTTCCATGGGTGTGCAGCTCGTGGGGCAGGTTGGCAAAGCAGGGGGCAAGAAACTCTGGTGGGAAGCGCTGGGTGAGGTTGAGGTCTGTTCTTTGGGGCCTGTTCTTCCCTTCTTTTCCCGTTCCCTTCTTCTTTTCCCGTTCCCTTCTTCTTTTCCCGTTCCCTTCTTCTTTTCCCGTTCCCTTCTTCTTTTCCCTTTCCCGTTCCCTTCTTCTTTTCCCTTTCCCGTTCCCTTCTTCTTTTCCCTTTCCCGTTCCCTTCTTCTTTTCCCTTTCCCGTTCCCTTCTTCTTTTCCCTTTCCCGTTCCCTTCTTCTTTTCCCTTTCCCGTTCCCTTCTTCTTTTCCCTTTCCCTTTCCCTTCTTCTTTTCCCTTTCCCTTTCCCTTCTTCTTTTCCCTTTCCCTTTCCCTTCTTCTTTTCCCTTTCCCTTTCCCTTCTTCTTTTCCCTTTCCCTTTCCCTTCTTCTTTTCCCTTTCCCTTTCCCTTCCTTCTTCCTATGCTGCTGAGGTCGCTCCCTCGAAGCTCAACACCAAGTTATCCTTCAGCACTGCTTTAGCTGGCTGGACGTGTGACTTGTGAGCTGGGTGTCTGCAGAGGCTGCTGGGCTCTGGTCACTGTCCTCCTGCTCTTAATTAGTGCTGTAATTACATGGGGGTTACACCGGGTTCCGATGAAGCTGCACCCGCAGCCATCAGGGCAGGACGCTGCGTTATTCCATGCGCCTCAGTGCGCCTTCGTTGATGTTCTCCTGCCCTTCCCTTTGCTGCAGGTCTCCAACGGGAACCTCCTGGCCATCCTGAACCGCCACTACCAGGACCTCACATGCCTCTGCTTTACAGATGACAGCAGCCACTTTCTCTCAGGGGCTAAGGACTGTCTGGCCCTGGTGTGGAACCTTTACAGGTAACGGTGGCCTGTGAGGAGGTCTCAGCTCATCCAAGCTCATTCATTTGGGGGACAGAGAGCATCTGGGTGAGGAGTGTTTGAAAAGAGATCAGCCACCGCTTCCTGGGGGTGGAATCAGCTGGAAGCCCCTGTGCCTGAGCTGTTGGTAAAGCCTCTCTGTTCTCCCCACAGCGTGCTGCAGGCAGAGCCCTCCCAGATCCCTGACCCACGCCACGTGTGGTCCCGACACAGCCTCCCCATCACAGACTTGTGCTGTGGCTTTGGAGGCCCCTTGGCACGAGCTGCCACAGCCTCCCTGGACCAGACGGCGAAGGTGAGGCTCAGCTCTGTCCCACCCAGCAGAGTCCCAGAGGAACACGGGCCCTACAGGGTTAAAGCAGTTTCTGCTGGGCTGCAGGGTTGCGGTAGCTGAATGTCTTGGCTGTCTCTGTGATGACTCAGAGCTGCCAGACCTAATGGGCTTTGCCTCTCCAAACACCAGCAGTTAGTTCCTCTGCACCTGCCCTCGAGCTGGCCCTTTGCAGTCCCTCTTCTCCTGGGGAACCTTGGGACCAGCTCCTCTCATTCCCTCCCTCATGTCCTTTAGTCTGGAAGGGGAAAGAGCAGAGCAGCCTGGAGCTCGCTCCTCCTGTCCTGCAGGAGGGCTCTGCCCTGGGGGGCAGGATGGGCATGGGATGGGTTTGGAGCCGCCTGGGAAACTTGTCCCATGGTCACAAGGAGCCTGGTCGTGGGCTCTGTTTCCCTCAGCGGCAGCAAGGACGGGATGCTCTACGTGCAGCTGCTGGACAGCCGCTTGTTCTTCCGGTGTTTAAGCCCCTAATTCTCCTGTACCCTCTCGCTCCAGCTCTGGGAAGTCTCATCTGGGGAGCTCCTGCTTTCTGTCCTCTTCGACGTGGGCATCATGGCTGTGACTCTTGATCTCTCCGAGTACCACATGTTCTGCGGTGGCATGGACGGATCCATCTTCCAGGTTGACCTCTGTGCCTGGGTGAGTGCTCGCTGCTGCTCTCCGCACCCTGAGCCACTGTCACCTCCCTCTCCGGGGCCTGGGTTCCCCTGCGTGTCCTCTGCCCCCTCCAGACACAGTGAGGAACCTGCTGGCTTCCCCTGTTTAAGCTCTTCTCCTCCTTCCCTCCTTCCTTCGTTTCTGCAGCCGGTCCAGAGAGACCGGACCTTCCAGACGGAGCGGGAGAACGGGAAGGTCTTCAAAGGGCACAGGTGAGGGACCAGCCATTACTTGCCCAGCACCTCCTTGCCCCTGTCTGCCCACCTGGGCACTTTCTGGGCGGTCCAGGGGTCATCCTGAGCTGAAACACCCTGTTCCCCATTCCAGGAACCAGGTGACGTGCCTGTCGGTGTCCACGGATGGCAGCCTCCTGCTTTCCGGCTCGCACGACGAAACAGTCCGGCTGTGGGACATCCAGAGCAAGCAGTGCCTGAAGACGATGAATCACAAAGGTAGGCATGCCCTTATCAACCAGGATCCTTCCCTCCTCAGCCACTGCTGCTCTCACACCGCCCTGGGCGCTCGAGGCATTACTGCACGCCTCCAGGAAGGGCAGAGGAAGCAGAGGGACACCTCAGCTGTCTGGAGCAATGGTTGACCTTGCCTATGTCTCTTGACAGCCCCGCTGGGCACTGTCAGGGAGTGACTCATAGGTTTCACCCTGTCACTGAGGACACCCAGGATCTTCCTCCTTGTTTTCCAAAGGGAGCGGTTGCCCCACACGCACCCAGAGGCCTGGGGAGGCTGAGAGGGGGTGGAATGTGTCTGGAGAAGAAACTGTCTCTGTGACCCCAGCAAGGAGCACCCATGAGCTCATTGGGCCTGAAGTGAATCTGATATAAGCTGTTGTCTGGGATTGCAAGGCAGTGGCTCCAATAAAGCACCCAAGCAAACCTTTGCAAGCTCAGATTAGCAATTAGGTGCCTCTTAGCAGTGGCTGAGTTAGGATTTAGCCCTTCTGCTGCTAACAGAGGGTTTCTTACGTGCTCACGGTGGTCTGCAGTCCCTTTACACTGCTCTTTCTGGTGGGGCTGGCTCATTGCTCTCTGGGCACTGCCTCAGCCCTCCCAGAAGGTGCCAGGGGTGGCAATGGGACCCTGTTCCTGGGGGCAGAGGTGGGCAAGCTGCTGCCGCAGGGCAGGCTCTGGAAGCCAGGCTCCCTCCTTGCCTTTTGCTGCCAAGGGCTGCTTCTAATGGGGACCTACTGCAGTGCCCATCCAGCCTTGCTCAACTGGCACTGGGGGGGTGAAAGCCAAGAGGATCTGAGCTGTGTGAGTCACCAGAGCATCAGGCATTAACCCCCCCCCTGCCCCAAGGCTGCAGGGGAGTGCAGATGGGCACAAGCTCCTCCCTGCTGCCCCCCTAGTGCATTCCCCAAGGCAATGCTGACAGGAGCTCTCCTGCTGCTCCTGCAGCCTCCAGCCTGGTGTGCTCGGGAAGCATGGCCCTCCCCTTGGTGGTGCTGCAGGTAGATCAGAAGGGTTGGAGCGTGGCTCCGGGCTTGAGGAGTGTGACTGTGCAGCAGGAGACATGCAGGGAGCTTTCCCTGCAAGGTTTGCCCGTCCTTGGTGGGGGAAGCAGGGCATGGGCAGGCAGATGGGCTCAGATGGGCTGCTGCTCTCAGATAATGAGCTCTGTGCTGGGCAAGGCAGGGCTGCTCCCAGTCACCAGTGTGGCTGGTTCTATTCCCAGCACTGCCCCAAAGCCCCCTTGCCTCAGACCCCAGTTCCTTTCTGTCGCATGAGCTCCATCCTTCCCTCTGCAAACACCGTGTGGTACAGACCATCCCCGAGCTCCTTCGTGCTTCCCCTGGCCCAGGGCTGCTCCAGCAGATCCCTCCTGGCCCAGGGATACCAGTTGGAAGATGGATTATTTGTGTCCTCCCTGTTGAGCCCAGTCCCTGTGCCCACGTTGGCTGCTGGTGCACTGGGACAAGGGGTGCTTGGGTGGGACTTGTGTTTGCACTGGGGCTGCGAGTGGCCGGGGGGGGGTCTTGTGAGGGTCCTGCTCTTTGCCTGTCCTGTCCCTTCCTTTCCCGTTGTGCTGCCAGCGGTGACTCGCTGCTGGGTGCTTGTGAAGAACCAGCAATTGTCTTGTCTTTGGGCAGGGAGCAAGAGGAAAACAATGGGTTTGTTACAGCAAAGTGTTGGCAAAGAGCAGCTTGGGGACCAGGATGGGAGTGCTGGCAGAGCCTTTGGTTTTCCAGTGGGATTCAGGGAGGGGTGGGCTTTGGGGCAGGCTCTGGGCTAGCCGGATGGGGAGATGATGGAGAGGGAGCCCTTGTCTGCATCGGAGGTGCTTTGGTCCATCTCCTCTGCAGAGACTGAAAGCATCAGGCAGCTTCCTGCCTCCCCTGGCTCCCTCTCTTATCCTGCACCATTCCCACTGCCACTGGGCAGGCACCTGCCCCCTCTTAGGTGCATCTGGGTCCCTTTAACCTTCCCCTTCACGCTGTTGAGTGCAGCCCGGGGGGGAGATGGATGGGCAGGGCTTCAGCGTGGTGCTCGCACACCAGAGCAGGGCTGTTGCTGTGTCTGACCCGGGCAGGGTTTGGGTATGGGGGGCAGTGGTGGGAGTCCTCCAGCAGAAGGAGGAGAGAGCCTGTGTGGGTAAGAGCAGCGATGAAGATGCTCAGTGGCTCTGCCAAAGGAGAGTGTGTGACAGATCAGTGCAGGAGCCAGGCGCTGAGGGGTGCCTGGGTCTATAGGGGATGGACGGGGCCTCCTGCTCCTCCCCGAGCTGCAGCGGGCTGAGGGGCTCTGCCCCTTCCCAGGGAGGGAGCTGGGAGCCCGGCCTGGGTCGTTCTCTCTTCTCAGGGCCCCCGAGGCAAACCCAGAGGGGGGGGAAACCTGACCCGTGCCCTCCTCTTGTCCCATCGCAGGTCCGGTTACGAACGCCTTCATCGTGCTGGCCCCCGCCAACATGCTCAGCCCCGACGGGAAGCCCAGCACACCCCTGCCCAAGTTCAGCAGGCACCTCCACGGCACCGAGAGCAGCGACGAGCAGGGCAGCGAGGGGCTGACGCTGCGCCTGGGCCTCCACCAGCAGGTACTGGGAGGAGGGGATGGGGTGGACGCAGTGCTGGAGGCTGCAAACCCTCTCCTGCAGGCACAGCAGCGGTGGCTGCTCCGTGCTGATCCCCAGCCTCTTCTGATCTCCCCTACGTTGCCATCACCCCCCCAAGTGCTGTCACTGAAAGCAGAGGAGCTGAGCCCTGCCCGCTCCCTTCTCCAGCGTGGCACAACCTCTTCCTCCCCTTCTTCCCCGTGCTCCACAATCCCTCCTGGCTGCTGCAGTCGTTTGTCCTGCCAGCCTCGTGCCACAGCCCGGCCTGGCTCTGCTGTCCCATCACCATGGGGCCCTCGCTCCAGGCATGGCCATCCCCAGGCAGGGGGGTCCTGCACTATTGGTGCTCACCAGGTGCCTGTTGGTGCCCCCAGAGCTTCTCTTCCCTATCAGTGTCTGTCCCCCGGTGAGGGTCAGTCCTGCCCCGGCTGATGGATGAGCTCTGTGTCGGGTGCTGTTTGCAGGCTTGGCCATACCCTGCTCTCTTTCTGCTTTGTCCCATGGGGCTGGGGGGAAGGCGAGGGGGTTCTTTGGCTGCTCCAGCAGGGAACCCTACCTGGGAGCACTGGGAGAGGATCTGGGTCGCCTGTCTCAGTCCCTCGTGTCTGGTCCCTGCAGGAGTCTGGAGAGAGCTACCTAGAGAAGGCCAGGAGAACCTACTCACAGATGTACTCCACGAGGGAAAAGGTGAGAGCTGCTCTGAGATGGTGCAGACCTCTTGGGGGTCCTCCACAGCTGAACCAGCTCCTGGGGCCCTGTGCAGGTTGGGGACGGGAGGAACGAGCCCTGGAGTTCACTGGGGACAGCAGGAGGGAGGAGATGGAGTTGGGAGCGACCCGAAGGGTTGGGGACGCGCAGCATCCGCTTGCCGGGTGCCTGATGCTTCCCTGTCGTGTTTCCCTGTGGCAGAACCTGGTGGGGGACCAGGAGCACCTGACGATCCAGGTGAGTGAGCTGGAGGAGGAGGTGAGCACCCTCCGGAAGATCAACAAGAACCTCTTCGACTTCTCGGCCCGCATCATCACCAAACCCGCTAAATGAAGCGGCTGCCGCTGCCCTGCTCCCCCCTTCCTCGCCCCCCACTTTTACTCTGCCTCTCCCAGCCCCAGCCTGCCCCACACCATGCACGGAGCTGGGCCTGGCACTCACCCGGTGCTGTGGGGATAACGCAGGGATCGTTGTCAGCCCCGATTCGGTGCTGCGGGCAGGCTCGGAGCATCCATGGGGCTGCGGGAGGAGCGGCACCGGCTCCGACGTGGGGCTCAGGAGGCGGCTCCTGCTCTTTTCCCTGTCTCTTCCCTGGCCCTTTCCTGTTCTTTTTGTTACTTGACCCTGCGGTGCAGACGGAAGCGGGGGCTTTCTCCTAAACAACGGTTTGAGATTGGAGTTTGGAGACCCCTTCCACCCCTGCCACCCTTGGGAATGCTGCTTGGCATCGCTGCACCCCTCACAGCCAGGACCCACTGGGTTCCACTCTCATGACAGCAGGTCCTGAGCAGCTCCTGCTCCTGGAGCCGGGGGGGGGAGACACGGACAGGGGGACCAGGACTCTGCCCCAGGGTGCAGGGGGTGGTTTTGGGCCACGGGTGCTATTTCCAATCTCGTAACGTGACGATTTATATATATTTGGATCCAGCTACTTTGGGATTGGGGTGTTCTGGTGGGGGACTCGGCCTTTTGTATTGTCATGAGCATGGCAGCAGGGGAGGGTGGGAGGGGTGGGTTCTGTTTAGGTTTATTTTTTACATAAAAGAATTGGATTTTATAGTGAAAGGTGCCTCGGGTTTCTCTTTTCAGCTCCCTGCTGCTGGTGCCAGGGCTCTGTAACCCAGTGGCAGCTCTGGCCATGGGGAAGGCAGTTCCCAGGGGAGGGAAGCAGCGCTGCTCCGTCCTCAGTTCATGGGTCCCTGCGGGGATGGAGCAGGGCCCTGTCTCCTCACAGTGCCTTAGATAATGCTTTTAGCTTAATAAGGCACCGTTTTGCTCCCATTTGCTCCCACTTTGCTCCTGCCAGTTTGGATCCAGGTCCAGTGGCTGCAGCAGGGAGCTGGGAGCATGCTCTTCCCCCCCCCCCATAAGGAGAGCCTGGTGTTGGCCAGCAGTGGGGTTGCGGTGCTGCTTGGGGCTCCCTGTGAGCCCCCTCCTGTGCTGCCCTCAGGCAGAAGCTGGGTTTTGGGGGGCAGTTTCATACCCAGAGCCTGCTCCCCCCCTTCCCCAGCACTCACCCACCTGAGCTTTATCCTGGGGGAAGGAGCTGCTGGGGGTCCCACAATGAAGATCTTGTTCCAGGGGGGACCAGCACCCCCTGATGAGGGGTTCCCATTGCCCTGGCAGGATTTGCTCTGCTCCCCCCCATCTCTGCAGGGGTAATTCATTAGCTGTGACTCATTAGATCAGCCCAATGATCAATACTTGTTGCCAGCTGGTACCTGGCTCCATCCCTCACTTTCTTTTCCATATGGATTTCGCAGCGTGTCCCTGCCTCCTCGTACCCCCGTGTCTGTGCTCCTGGGGCCGGGCCTCAGTTTCCCCGGGGGTGATGAGGAGGGTGACCCCTGGAGGGGAGGAAGGCTCCAAAACCCTGCAGCCACCCCCCGGCCCGGGGACCCCATCGGCTTTGAGGATGGGGGGGTCCAGCCCCAGCCTTTACCGCGTGTTGGGGGCGAGGTCAGGGCTCCGAGCCCGGCTCGGGGAGGAGGAGGAGGAGGAGGAGGAAGGTGCCGGTGGGTCCAGAGGCAGCCGGGACCACGCTGGGGACCGCGGGGCTCCTGCCCCGGACCCCCCCCCCCGGCCTCATCCGCGTTGCTGCGTGTGCCCGGGGGCTGCGGGACGGGACCAGAGCCACCCCCCCCCCCCCCAACCCCGGCTCCGCTCCCGGCCCCTCCCCGCGCCCGCCCCGCTCCGCTCCCTCCCCGGGCCCGCCCCGTCGGGGCGCATCGCGGCGGGGCCGGTGGCTGCGGGCTCATGGCGGGGCTGCGGGCGCTGTGGCTGCTGGCGGCGCTGGGAGCGGCGGGGGGGCACCCGCAGCCCTGCCGCGTCCCGGCCCCCCCCGGCCCCGCCGTGCGTCTCGGGGCGCTGCTGCCGCCCGGTTCCCCCCGCCGCGCCCGGCTCCGCGCCGCGCTGGTCAGAGCCGCCGGTACCGGTAGCGGTGCCGGTGCCAGCCCCGGGGGGACGCCGCTGCCCTCGAACCTCAGCCTGGAGGTGGTGGCGGGCGGCCCGGCCGCTCGGGACCCGCGCTCGCTGGCGCGGTGGCTCTGCGGGGCGCTGGCGGGGCGCGGCGTTGCCGCCGTCCTGGCGCTGCCCCGCTCCCGCAGGGAGCTGCTCCTGCTCGACTTCCTCGCCGCCGCCCTGCAGATCCCCGTGCTCAGCATCCCGGACACCCGCGGGCTCCTGCCCGTCCGAGCGCAGGTAGGACCCGCATCCGCCGCGCCGGGCACCGGGGGCACCGGGGGCAGGTCCCCGGCCCGGCTCCGTCCAAGCTCTCGTCTCCCTCCGCAGCGGGTCGCAAACCGGTTCCTCTCCCGATGCTGATTCCAGCTCCAGCCCCGGCTCTATCCCAGCTCCTCGCACTTGCTGCATCCCGGCTCCATCCCAACTCTGTCCTGGCTCCGTCCCGGCTTCCATCTCAGCCCTATCCCACCCCCATTGCCACCCGCATCCTGAACACCCATCCTTTGTCTGTCCCAGCCTCATTCCGCGTCCCCTCCTAGCTTCATCCTGTCCCCCCATCGCAGCAACATCCCAGCCCCCTCCTGGCCCCCGTTCCAGCCCCATCCTGGCTTTATCCCAACCCCCATCCCAGCTCTATCCTGGCTCCATCCCAGCCCCCATCTCATCTCTTATGGCCCCCTGCCCGACTCTATCGCAGCCCCATCCCAGCTCTCAGCCCAAGGCAACTTCCCTGGCTCCTCCAGCAGCCCTGCATCCCCCAAGCCCCAGTCCCGACCCCAGGGATGTGCCTGGTGCTGGATCCCCCTCAGTCCCCTGTGCTGGATGGGGCAGCGAATGGGCAGAGCGCGGGCAGGGAGGGAGGGAGGGACCGTGGCTGGTGCTGCCTTTGGGCTCTTCCCGTGGGGCAGGAGCCAGGCAGGGGCACAGCCACAACCCCTCTGTGTCGGCAGAGCCCCTTCCACTTCCACGTGGACCGGCAGAGCTCGTTGGAGACGCTGGTGGACGTGGTGGTGAGCATCCTGCAGGCCAACGACTGGCACGAGACCAACCTGGTGCTCTGCCACCCCTGGGACGTCTCCGGCTTCCTCAGCCTCTGGGCCCGGCGCTCCCAGCTCTTGCTCCGCACCATCCTGGACCTCGGTTACCTGGATGAGCCCAGGGCCTCCCGCTACCTCCAGCAGCACCGGGAGCACTTCAGGGCCCTCTCCAGCCCGGTGCTGATGCTCGGCTGCGACCTGCAGCGCGCCCGGCTCATCTTCCGCACGGCCGAGGAGTCGGGGCTCCTGCCTCAGGAGCTGCACTGGGTGCTGGGGTCCCCGCTCAGCGCCGGCGAGCTGCAGACCGAGGGGCTGCCCCTGGGGCTGCTGGCTTACGGGGAGCTCAACCCGCCGCCGCTGGAGCTCTTCATGCAGGACGTGGTGGAGCTGGTGGCCCGCGCCGTCGGCAGCGCAGCCCGCACGCAGCCCGGCCCCGCTGTGCTGCACACCACGGGGAACTGCAGCAACGGGCGCCCGGTGGGCGGCGAGGCCCCGGGGCTCATCCTGTCCCGGTAAGGGAGGTGCTGGGGTGCCCCTTTCCCCGGCTCCATCACACTGGGGTGCCTGGGGGTGTGTGTGTGTGTGTGTGCAGAGCCCTGTGTGGTCCCTCGTGGGGCTCAGCGCTTCCGGGACGCGCTGTGTGCTGGCTGCACGGATGGGGACGTGTCACTCCCCATCTCCCTCAATGCTTCCCGAGCACGGTTGCTCCATTACCATCAATAACACCCGGTCCTCGATCAGGCTCATGGCTCCCAGCTCCTGTGACCGCCCCCCATCCCCTTCCCCTCCAGGTTCCTGTCCAACGCCTCCTTCCACGGGCGCACGGGGCCGGTGCGGGTGCAGAGCGCGAGGCTGGTGCGGCCGGAGCAGCGCTTCCACGTGTGGCGCCTGCAGCGGGACCCACGGGGAGCCCCGGCCTGGGGGACGGTGGGGTCGTGGCACCGGGGGAGGCTGGAGCTGGACGAGGGCGTGCGGCAGAGCCAGCGCCACGGCCCCGGCGAGGCGGCGGCGGGCAGCCGGCGGCGGCTGCGCGTGGTGACGCTGGTGGAGCACCCGTTCGTCTTCACCAGGGAGGTGGACGAGGACGAGAGCTGCCCCGTTGGGCAGCTCTGCCTGGACCCCGGCACCAACGACTCGGCTGTGCTGGACGCCCTCTTTGAGGAGCTGGGTGCCGGCAACGGCTCGGTGCCGCGGGCGTACAAGAAGTGCTGCTACGGGTACTGCATCGACCTGCTGGAGAAGCTGGCGGAGGACATGAGCTTTGCCTTTGAGCTCTACATCGTGGGCGATGGGAAATACGGGGCCTGGAAGAACGGGCGCTGGACGGGGCTGGTGGGGGACCTGCTCAGCGGCACGGCCCACATGGCCGTCACCTCCTTCAGCATCAACTCGGCGCGGAGCAAAGTCATCGACTTCACCAGCCCCTTCTTCTCCACCAGCCTGGGCATCCTGGTGAGGACCAAGGACACGGCGTCGCCCATCGGGGCCTTCATGTGGCCCTTGCACTGGACCATGTGGGTGGGCATCTTCGTGGCCCTGCACATGACGGCCCTCTTCCTCACCCTCTACGAGTGGAAGAGCCCCTATGGCATGACCCCGCTCGGCCGCAACCGCATGAAGATCTTCTCCTACTCCTCAGCCCTCAACCTCTGCTACGCCATCCTCTTTGGGCGCACCGTGTCCAGCAAGACCCCCAAGTGCTGCACCGGCCGCTTCCTCATGAACCTCTGGGCCATCTTCTGCCTCCTGGTGCTCTCCAGCTACACGGCCAACCTGGCGGCCGTCATGGTGGGGGACAAGACCTTCGAGGAGCTCTCGGGCATCCACGACCCAAAGGTTGGGAGAGGGTCCGG